TAATAATACTAACTCAAATACATCGATTTCTCGTTTGATCTCGGCAAAGATAAAAACTAGGGTTTTCAAGTTGTTGACATTAACTAATTAATAAAAAAATGCATGATAAGAACAATTTAGTATCATGGTAATTGGAATAAGTAATTTTTATGTATTTGGTTTGCTTTCCCTTTCGCATCTAGATAGTCCAAAAGAAAATAAGAGTAACAAAACATGTAGCAAGCCCATCATTTTCCTAATTAGTTAGGATAGTTGGGCCTAGCATTTTTTTTTTTTAACCAAAGATAGCTTGCATTACCAAGAGAAAGATAGATCGAACGTTTACAACTCCGACCGGAGCCAAGCGCAAAAATCAAAACCAAGTACAGTACTAGCCGACAAATCTAGGGCCTTCCTTGCCACCAAATGGGCAACCCTATTGTTCTGCCTACCCACAAACTGCACTCTAAACCCCGGGAACATATGCCGAAAAGACCTGACTTCTTGAAGGATTGCTCCACCCTTGGCGTCCCGCACCTCCAGCGCGTTCACCTTATCAATTATAGCTTTAGCATCCCCCAAAAACAGCATTGATCCCCAGCCCCTCATAATGCACCAGTACATAGCCTCCCGAAGAGCAATCAATTCCACCACCGCTGGCTCAAACGCTCCATCCAAACGTTCCCCTTTCGCCAACACGACGGCTCCCGTTGCATCCCGGATAGCTATCCCCACTGCAGCATGCGACTGACCACAAACCGCACCATCAAAAGAACACGACAGCTCCCCCACGATTCCAGCCAACCCCCCCATCCCCCCCTGCACTGGCGGATCAGCAAGCCCTCCAACCCCCTCCCTTTCAAGCACCCTTACCCACTCCTGAATTTGATGCAGAAGCTGCTGCCTGAGAACGGCTCTATGGACCTGCTTAAGCTCGAAAACCACCCAATTACGCGCCTTCCAAATGCGCCACAAAACCGCCACCACCCTACACATCATGGCCTCCGATGTTACCCGCTCCAAGACCCGCCGAAGGAAAACCACAAAGTTAGCACCATCCAGACCATCCGTCAGCCCCAGGACCCCACCGCATTCCCATAACTCCTTCGCCACGGGACAAAGAAAGAAGAGATGCTCCAAAGACTCCAGCTCCGCCCAGCAAACCGGGCAACGCCCCAGGACATCAACCTCCTTCTCGAGTAAAGCCTCCGTAGTGGGCAGAATACGACTGAAAATCTGCCAAAGAAAGAATTTCAGCTTTGGTTGCACCTGCAACGACCAAAGCATTTAAAAAAACGATTATGATGGTACATAAAAAAAAAACAAGTATGAATAGCTCCTTTTAGTTTTCTTCTATATATAAAAAATGCTTCAATGACAAGTCTTCAATTACATAAAAGCACAGGATTACATCCATCAAATAATTTAGAGCTTCGAATTTCTCAGCTCATAGTTGAAGATCCTAAAATCTTCAACTATGACTGCATGGACAAAAGAGGGCAACAAGTTGATAATACGCCAATACTTAAACAGACACCTTATTAATTGAAAGAAAGTGTAGGACTTTGTCCCCGTATAACCTCATATATTCTCTGTGTTTGCCCAAAATATTTAGAAAATTTACTCAAACTCTGATATCATAGTCCTTCTAAACCAAACACCATATCCTGACATTATATAAATTCGTACAATTTTATCTATAAAATACATTAAAATTTCATTCATTCCGCATTTCCACCTTACATATTACCCAAAATCTTAAATCCATTTGATATTAGTTCTTTTAAAGTCATTCCACTTTAGCAATCTTAAATTTTGATTGTTGGTGGGGTCAGTGGCATATTATAGCAAAGATTCTAAAAGGAGGCATAATATGCTCCTCTACTATAACGTTTTATCAAACATGCCTATTTACTATTTTTTACATCAAACATGCCGTTATACTTTGAAAAAATTATCAAACATGCCCTTCTATTAAAATTTTCATTTAAAAAATCGCCAATCATGGTTGAACCGAGATTTAGACGACCCGACATTGACAAATGGGAGCGAAAATTTCAGCTTTGTATCCCGTTTTATTTCTATGAGTCTCTTCAAAGTGAAATTATTTGAATTATTTTACTATACAAAAGAGCAAAAAAAAATATATATATATAAAGTGAAATTATTAGGGATATTTTAGACATTTGTGCCGCCCAAACCAAACTTCGACCTTGGTTAACAGTTTTTGGATAAAAATGTAAACAAAAGTGCATGTTTGATCATTTTTACAAAGTACATGGGCATGTTTGATGTAAAAAATAGTAAAATGGCATGTTTGATAAACCGTCATAGTAGAGGGGCATATTATTAGGGCTGGGAATCCGGTTCCAATTTTCCGGTCAAACCGGAAACCGGGTAGTTAAAACCGTCCCGGTTGTGACCGGAAACCGGATTGCCATCAATCCAATCCAGTTCACGGTTATGGTGCAGCCAACCCGGTCCAATCCGGTTAAAACCGGAAAAACCAGATAACCCCAAACCAAGCGAAGCCCAGCCCACCATAGCCCAACAAGGCCCGCCAAGCCCCAACCCTATTCCTGATCCCTGACTAAGAAATAGAGAGACCCCTCTCTATTCTCATGCCGCCACCACTCATTCTATCCCCTCTCCTTCACCTTTGAAACACAAGAACTACTAAAAATAGAAGAAGAAGACGACCCCATCCCTTTGCAAATCGCATCCCTACATCCTTGTTTGGTGACTCCCGTTGGTCGACAGCGAATCCCGCCAGTTGCAGGAGGCATGCAAAGGTTTTTCTATTCTGTTCCACCTCCGTAGCACCGGCCGTTGAGATCTTTGTCGACAGCCGTCATCCACCAGCCAACGGACGAACCCTGAAGAAGCGAGAGGAGAGGAGAAGATACAAGATTGAGATAGATGCGAGATTGGGGAAGAGAGATATAGGATTTGGGAAAGAGATGCGAGATTTGGGGAAAGAGAGATGTGGAATTTGAATCTGGGAGAGAGATGCAGGTCGATGATTTTTTTTTTCCCCTCCTCAAGTAAGATCTGATTTAAATTGAATAGATCCGATTTTTTGGTTAAAACCGTATTTCATCCAATTCGGTTTGGTTAAAACCGGGTAACAATCCAATCCCGTCTTCGGTCATGGAGTTGATCAATACGGTTTTAAAAAATTGGGTCAATCTGGTCCGGTTTCAATAGAATTGGACTGTTCCCAGCCCTACATATTATACATATAACCCATTCTAAAATCGTACGAGAAGTTTCACCAAAAAAGTCACTGACAAAGTAATTTTTAACATTCAACAATTTCATACCGCCTATGACTTTATTCGGAAATACAGATTCAACACGTTTTCTCAAACACTACCACATGCAAAATTATGACGAGCTGAATAAAGATACGACAACCAGAAGGACAAAGAATCTACCCCGAATGTTGTTCGCTTTGAAACTTGAACCAACCGCTCAAGCCTCAAGTTCATTCCGGCCGGCGGCCAGCTCTTGTTCCGGTACGTGTTGCTTTCGGGTCAACGAGTCTGGATCCCATCAGTAACCATCAGGTGAATAACCTCATGCATAACCTAATAAGAATCCGCCACAGCGCCTCCTTCTCTCTCCTCGAAAGACCTTTAGTTTTCCTTTCCTTAATCTTTAACAGACGATTTCTCACTCGTTTTAACTCGAAATTATTTTTTTTTGCATAGTTAGATCAAATTAATTGTGTTCTTCAAAATGATATCCACTTTGATATTTTTTGGAACAAAAAAAATTTGTCAGTTATTACCAGTCTATACTATATGGTATTAACTGTACCATATGGTATTAACTGGTATTAAATAACAGCATACCATATGGTATGAAAAATACCACCCACACCAGGGTGGTATAGTATGGCATGGAGTTGGTAACGAGAGGTATGAAATTTTTTCACTCAGAAAATTTTGAAATCCAATAGATCATAATTAAATCGTTCCTTCTGTGCAAAAATTTCCGAAAACGACTAAACAACGAAGGAGATACCATATGGTATAGAGTTGGTAACGAGAGGTACGGAATTTTGTTTTCTCAAAAAATATTGAAAATGGATATCATTTTGTAAAGCACAACGAACTCGTTAACTCTATGCAAAAAAAATTGAAACCCGATTTAGAATGAAGAAGATATGATCCAATCAAGAAAACTAGGAAAAATAAATTCTTTTAATTCTCTACCCTTAGATCTGCGGCCACTTAAAAGAAGTAGACCTGGCAAATGAGCAGCCCGACCCGTTGACCCGACCCGAACCCGCCCGAAAAATAGAGAATGGGTTGAGATTTTTATAACCCAAAACCCGAATGACCCAAACCCGATTAACCCGTAGTTTTTGGGTCGGGTTGGGTTGGTTTGTGGGTCCGTTTCATTGCATATATCACTCTCAAAATGATAAAATCACTCATATTTTGGTGAGATGTTTAAAAAAATTTATTAGGATTTGAAAGACAAGTTTGGATTGTTAAGATAATTAAACATCATTTGTTTATTGTAGAAGTATTACTTTCGTCATTGTTTTTTTGACAATTTGTGTAATTTGTATTTCTTTTCATTAGCATGGAAGGAGTTGGGCATTTGTTAATTAACATGTGCTAGGCAAACTATTGTCGCACATACGTAAAAATTTGTGTTCTTTAAAAATTTATGAAGTATGTTTGGTATTGTTTCTGAGAACACTCATGATTCGAAATGACCCAAAACCTGACCCAAAACCCGATGGGTTGGGTCAATATTTGACCCGAAATCAGCAACCGATCATGACCCGACCCGTGAAGACCCGTAACCCGAGATTCCCAGCCCAAAATTACCCAACCCGACCCGATTGCCAGGTCTAAAAAGAAGGGTTCAAATTTGGTTACTCACCCTATTTTGAGCCCGGGTCTACCAGTAGTATCAGACGTGTCACCCAAGGTAACCACAGAAACCATAATTGGTACAATCAGAGCGACAGAAACAAAAATGGTCAAAGAGTAAACAAGCCATCAAACGAGGTAAACGACTAGTCTTTTTGACTGCTAATATTAGACCTAAACCAGTCGTCCCCGATGCTGTGTTTATCAATAACTTAACAGGATTGATATTCGCAGCATCTATAACAATATGCACTATCAGCATTGTACACATTATTATAATCATGTCTCACTAACAGATAATAAAATGGTTTTAAGTATCAACTATCAAGTAAACATCCCACAAGCACTATCCAATAATTTTGCCTGCCCAATAATTTTGCTGTAGAGGCACCCAATTTGGTTCCAACAGATAACCACACAAACCCAAAACAACAACAGGATGTCCAATCCTTCCTCTACCAAGTGAGTGAGTGAGTGTTGTGTGTAAATCCAGGTATAAGGAATCCAAATGTCCAAACACAAAACCACTCTTAGCCAACTAGTCCCACAAATCATTGAAGCAGATTATTGACCTCCTTCCCTACAGGCTTGAACCCCTTTCCCCATCAATCTTAGTGTTCTCTGCTGTGTGAGGCTTGCTTTATTAGAGTAAATGAAGCAGCAAGTTTTCGAGGAATATGCTTACTTGAGGGTCCACAGGTGTGTATATGCTAGATTCTGGGGTATCTTCTTTTGCTACTGTGTCTTTGCTCTTCCACTTCGTTCATGTAATCCGAGAGCCACATCAGAGCCTTGTAACCATAGTATGATGCAGCTACCAGAGTACCCACGAGGATGACCACTAGAAGGAGCTTCTTCACGGCGGGGAGAATTTTCTGGTCCAAATAGTATGACTAGCTCATTAGATATGTCAGTGGTCAAGAAAGACAGACAAATTTTACTGTTCATTGTTGGATTGCCTCCTCCTGTGCATTCTTCCCAACGATGAGCCTTTAGATCAGGATGGTTTAATTCAATCCCGATGTGCACCTGGGAGTGCTGGGAATGCACGGGGGCAATCCAACGGTTTCAACACGTACTAAAGTGTGGATATCCAACGGTCTATCACATTACCTGGAGTGTGGATAACTGCTTTGCTTCTTGTAACCGTTGACGTCGTTTTTTACGCTTAGAAGGCTGTGCTTCAGTAGTGCTGTCTTTCACCTACCACAGATGTGAAAAGCATAACACATTTCAGTTCAAAGTTGCTTAAGCCAATAATGTGCAAGATGCTGCTGAAAGAGTTTCTCAGTAGTAAATAACAGATAGTGATGGGTGACTTGATTTGTATTTTATCACACAAGAGGTGTTTCACTTGAATAGATGCCTACCTAACCTATAACTTTTTGGGTTTGGGCAGCTATCATTTCAGACAACCCTTTCTGAGAAAAACGTACAAGTAACGGGATATATGAATGCAGGTTCATTTGCACGGCTGATAAATTCTACCATCAATGACGTCAAAAAGTTGAGAGAAAAAATGATTCCACGAGTTAAAACTCATCATCACATGCAAACAGATAGGCATTGGCAGTACTAAATGAGATTCTGCTCAAGGTAAAAAGGCACCAACCTCAGCATCCTTTGATGAACGCAAATGTAGTTCCTGCTCCACAACTTGAATTTTAGCCTTGCAATCCGAATTACAAGGTAGAAGTCCGAGTCCAAAGTGATTTTTAGACACATCTTTGGGATCAGAACCAGCTGCGCGGTGGGCTTCCTGAACATCTTTGCAAAGCCACTCCTTTTTCAAAGTTTGACACCGACAACGAACAGTAACCTTCAGAAAATATTTTTACTCCATTAAGTGCTCTGGAAAAAATCATCCAAACTTTGTTCTTTATCTCAGCTGATAGAATAATTCCTTACCTTTTTGCTGCACTTGTCAGGTGATGGACATTCACCTGGATGACATGTCTCTGGGCATAAATGTGTGCAGTTAGGCAACTTCCTGCATCGATAACATGGCAATAGTTTCAGAACTTATGAACATACTAATACAATGTTATAGGTCCTCTAGACCTGATAGATATCGACTACAATGCAGCTAGACTTCATGGGATATCCAAACCCAATACAACCTGTGGACTGACAACAATGGCAGAAACCATAAATTGAATGTCTCATAAAAGCACAACCAAGAGAGGGTTGACAGCTTCCAACTCAAGACATCATGCGAGAGCATAAAAGGTCTCAAAATAATTATATCCAGCAACATGAGGAAAGATACTTCATTATTGCCAACGGACAACCATATAGGAAGTACTTCAGCCCAAGGCATCGAGCTGCAATTTTGTAATATTGTAATGAACTGTGGTCTTGGATCGCGAGAATAACTTAAGTGATTCTGAAGCCCAACATATATCATTGTAGCCCGTTCTTGGTTTGATTTGCTACTCCATGATATATAGGAAGTAAACAGGGAAGGTCCCACCACAAGCGCAGATCTGCTCTCAAGGGGCAGTCCTCTGCACCTTTACATTTTTAGACAAGGCACAGTCTGAAAGTTCCACCCCTTTGACCACGGGCCTCTTTGGCTAGTAATTTCCCATTTTTATGTTTGATCATGTCGTACTTTTTTAGTTTTCTCATTCGATTTCATGGTCGATAAAATCTCTTAATTTCATAACGCTTCATGGTGTTTCCATATAGTCGCTCAAATATCAAAGGAAAGCAATAAGAGGATCCAGCACAGGCAGTGCAATCAGCAGGCACAAAAGGCAAGCACCTCATGCCTGTGGTCACTATGCACTATGCACACACACAGAGCATATCATCAACCATTAGAAAAGAGAGTAGTTCTACGTACCGATGGCAGGGTCCACCACAAGAACGAGCAGAAATTTGCTCCTTTTTTGACAAGCTGTTGTAGTAAATGCAGTCAAAAGCATGGACCATAGAGCCACAGTGGCAAGACCGTTTCACAAGCGCCTTGCAAGGTGGACAATCATCAGGATGACACCGCAAAGAACAAGTATGTGTACACCCAGGCTTCCTCTCCTGTGCATGTTTTGAATATTATGCAATTACATACAGTAGAACAAACTATATCCATATAGGAAAGACATAACTTGGCCCAACCGATTTTAGAAGTTTCAACTGAGAAGGTCTATTACCTTTTCACAAGGAAGATTACACTTTTCACACGACTCACTTGTAGCAATTTTACCCAACCAATTTGAGGTATTGAACTTCAGAGCATGGCAAGTCTTTGTACAATGGTGATTGCCGCAAGGAAGAGGATTCCCACAGAGATTTTCACAAGAAAACATGGTTTTGTTCGAGCAGACCATCTAAATTGCAAACACGAAATAGATGGCAAGTTACAAACACAGGGAAATAAACATTCAAAACAGAAAAAGAAACATAAAGAGAACAAGAAAAGCCGTGTAGTGGACCAAAACCAACACAGGTATTAAACAAATGAACCCACAGAATAGAACCAACCATTCTCTCTGCAGCATAGTGCTGGCCAACACATGATCTCCAAACAAGTTCGGGGCAAGGAGGGCAAGGAGACCCCGGGGTAGACTCACTCTGATGAATAGGCCTTTTCTTAGTTGGTTTGAACATAAATTCAGGTTTGGGAGGGGGCATGGGACCATGGCATCTGAAGCATAAAAACAATGAGAGATTGTTGAAGTGAATCTCTAGAATTACCATCCAAGTACCATATATTGAAAAAAGTTAATTATCTAAAAAATAAAGGAGAACCTTAATCGGCACTTATGTCCACATGGGTACTCTTCTTCACAAATTAACCGACAAGGTGGGCAAGCACCATAATGACATTTGTGTGGCTGGACAGAGTTCCAAAATCAGAAATGGTTAGACCGCTCATCAAGATAACATGTAAAAATAACCAAATCACTGGAATGGATAAAACAGAAGGTTTCGACAGTGTTAAAACCAATGAAAAATATGCACAAAGTCCAAATTTTGAGATAAAACATTTTTAGTAATACCTTGATGTATGTCCCATGCCTGCACAAAGGAGGAATTTCACATAATTTTCGACATTTCGGAGGCTTTTGGTCCTTCTCCGTTCCACAAGGAACCTAGCAACACATCAACGACCACCAATCAATTTGCATTTGTGACAAATCAATGCAAGCAATTTTATAGCAGAAATCACAGAATAGAGAATCTGTTGTTTCATCCTTTAGCATCAAAAAGAGAAGGCAAATTATACTCTGAAACATAAGTTCCTGACACTAGCTTTAGAAATAAGGTAAACCAGTAACTGAAGAAGACTTCAATAATCAGCATTTCATTCTGCAAGAATGAATAAACAACTTCCTGCCAGTATGCAACTGGGTGTGGACGAGTAAATCAGATCAACCAGTAATTGAATACTACTTCAATAAGCACCTATTTATACTGCAAGAATGAATAAACAACTTCCTGGCAGTAGCAACAGGGTCTGGACGAAGGGGGGGAAAACTAACCTCAAATCGTGTATGACCACAAGCACATGATATTGGAACCATCACAGGGCAGGGAGCACAGGGACCTCTACAGAATAAGCAAATGATGATAAGCGGATGAGAGCAAAGGTACAATATGAAAGAAATATTGCTCTTGGTCCCTAGAAATGCTAAATCGCAAAAGTAGCTCATCACATAGATGTGATTGTTGTTGCAAATATGCAAATATACATGTAGAGCGACGCCCCCCTCCCTCCATATTGCAACTCCAAGTCTTGTTATATAGTCCAATGAAGCCACTTACAATAAATCATACCTATGACAAGGGGAAGGGCATTTGTGATTCTTGCACCTTAGTCTCTTCCCACAAACCTGAAATTCAAAGCTCTGTCACATTCTAGCAAAGTGAAGAAGATTCGGTTGAGTAAGATGTTTTACACGAACCTCTCCACAAGGCGGGCAATCCCCATCACAGCAACGACGTCTACAAGCATGGCGTCCACAATCTCTCGCTATCTGGCACTTTCTCTCACATGCTAAATCTTGATAGCAAGGAATCTAATCTCAAGTCAGTAAAATCTAGCCCGAAAAACAATATACTATAAAGCGATAAAAATAAATAGCACTATATCAAATATGCACTGTTTCCAGTTCCTTTCATCATTTGCCAACTCATTTATGCACCAACTATGAAGCAACCTTACAAACGAAATGTATATAATCCAGAACAAGTTTTTACCTCTTTCTTCAAGCTTCCACAACGACACGACTTGAAGACAACCATTCTGCAGGTCTCAGCACACTGCCCTCGGTGGCACCTTTCATGACACTTATGGAACCCACAGCTCAACATTTTACCACAAGTATCTCCACATAGCGGCACTGCAACATCACACGCCATTCCTTCATGAACCCTCTTCCCACAAGGGCACGTCCTCTTCCCTTGCAGCGGACATCCACCACACCCTTCCGGAGAGTGACACCCTTTCTCGCACAAATGCTTCCCACAGCTCAAGGGTTTCTTGCACGGAATCTCACATCTGAAATCCCTCTCACAACATTCCTTCTCCTCTTCTTTCTTCCCACACAGGCATCGATAAGCCCCGCGCTCGTGACAAGGGGGACACTCTCCATCATGACAAATCTCTTTACATTTGTGGCTCTTACAACCCAACAGCTTATTGCATCGACTGTTGCACGAATACACTTTATACCCACACCGCCGAACATCTTCAATCTTGCCGCAATAACACGACGCCTTGACCAGTTTAGGACACGGAGGGCACGGCCCCGGGTGACACAACAACAAGCAGAAATGGCCGCAGTTATTCTTCAACGGACGGTTACATACCTCGCCGCACGAATGTGGCAAAATCCAGGGATTATCATTCGGAGGACTCTCGAGCTTGCCACAGAAGCAGAAGTAAGTCCTAGGGATTTGAGATTTGGAATACTCTGACCTGCATTTGGGGCAATTCCAGATCGCCGTCTCGTCGGCCTTCTGCGAGGTGATCGGGAGGCGAGTGGAGGCTCGCAAGGCGGCGAGATCGGACGCCTGGCGAGCCCACGATTGGATGCAGAGGAGGTGGAAGACGTCGAAGCAAAGGGAACCGCAGGACCAGGTGGGATCGGAAGGGCGGATTCGTTCAAGGCATATGAGGCATGAGAGGGCGCCGGACGAGGATGAGTTGAGGAACGACTGGATTTTGGAGAGGTCGTGCGGGGACGGCGAGGCGGAGGTGGTGGTTGCGGTGAGCTCGAAGTAGGATTTGAAGATGGAATTGGAGAGGTCGGTGTGGCGGCGGGCGGAGTTGGATTCGCCGGACTGCGAGTGGTCGGAATCGGAATCTGAATCCGTGAACGACTGTTGCTTGGCGCCGGCGGCGGTGGACATTTTCGTATGTTGAGACGGAAGAGTGACGTCTTCTGCTCTCGAGAAACGACTTTCCTGTTCGCTGTTCCGGGTTCAGGTTCAGCTTGCCTCGAGCTGGTGGATCACGGAGTTCGGTGGGGAACAAATCAGGTTCGAAAGAAGTGAATCTATCTATCGGTATCTATACATAACTAGATCCGGGCTCACCCGTTGGGTGACTATATATAATTTTAGTTTTATAATAAATTCATTATTGGACGGATACATTACGTAAATAGTATAAACGACAATAATAATTGTTCATAAAAAAACATACATTCTAGAATTTTTTTTCCTTAAATTCTAGCAAATTCTCTAGTGTAAGGATGAAAGTAAATAACCAAACTCATGCCAGAAAACCATCTCATAATAAAATAAAAACATATAATAAAACCAAACATTAATGAAGATATCTACAATCAATATTCGCTTCCTTCTTGTTAACAATGTGGTCACCTCCATTTTTAGATTCCACTACCTCAAACATTAGAAGACCGACTCTCTCTGCTTCTCTCACATCTCAATAAAAGCGAAACTATAATGAAATGGCAAATATGACACTTCAAGTAGAATATATTACATCCAAGTCATGAAATTGTTAATGATTTGTTGTTTATTCTATCTGAAACCACTAATTTCCAACATGGATAGTATCTTCCTCTTCTAAAAAAACATTATTATTAGCATAATTTATGTTTTAATGGGTATGGTGATTTTCCTAAAGTGAATTATGAAGTTAAGAAGAATGGACGTCTAAAGATAGATTGCTACCTAGTTGACATCATTTTTAATTTTGTGTATGATTTTCACAAAAGTGCTTCAGAGAGTTTTCTTCAACTTTTGGTCGATAGGTCACATTAAGCATAGCACCACTAGTTCCCAACTTTGACAACTTAATTATATTGGAAGGAATACGAATTATCCTACTTATTAGAGAAAGAGATAGCATTTTAATATTAATGAGTCGTTAGATTGAAACTGGAGTTTCATCATCTCACACTACAAAAAAAGAGGTTTTAACGATGGGTAAAAACGGTCGTTAATTGTCCAAAAACGGTCGGGAAAAGTCATTAACGACGGGATAGGACCCCTCATTATAGGCTTCGCCGGTAAAAGTCAATAACGACGGTAAAATCTTATCCGGTCGTTAAAATCTTTACTGAGGGTAATATCTTCCGGTCGTTGAATATTAATTTTCACCAACTAGATAATAAGCATTGACGACAGGATTACCCTCACTAATACGTTATCAATTTTGTGAATTCCCATCGTTATTGACACTAAAAGCAACCCAACTTCTATGCTTATTGATTTTCATGGAAAGATACAATCTGCGAAAAATACCATACCAATTGCTACTATTAATATTCACCATTGAAATCTTATATCACTAAAGAAAGAGTATATAATTGTCAAGGATTACAACATGTTTATGTGCTTATGCTTTAATAAAATAGAAGGAAACGTAATCTGAACTCATAACATATACAAGACATACATAAATATACTAAAATACAAAAGATATATATATATATATATATACTACATTAGCATTCTAAGTGGTATAACAATAACATCTTTTTTTTTCCAGCTTCTTGAAACACTCTGCTTTGATCCCTTTGTCCTTCCCGATCTCATTCCAAGTCCTTGCTGGAGCAATAAAAATAGTCATGTTATACAGTAACTTGTTAATGGTGATGATAGAGATGTATCAAGGTTAAAAGTAAATTTATGGAAATGTACAACCAAGAAAACAAAGGTCAAAGAGTAAATATATAAACTAATTTCTCTTAAGAGTTTACCTACTCAAAGCTTCAAGAACTGTGAAAATAAGGAATTAGACCTTCACTTTCTGTGGATTACTAGCAATCAAAACACTTGAACTTAGTTAACCTGCCAAAAAAAAAACACAACAATTACTCTGTTTCGAACAACCAATGACAATAGACACAAAACCAAAAGACCATGCTACTTCAATTTCTACAAACATAGAAATCAAACAAGAAAAGGATAGACCAGTCTTATTTGCCAAGAATTCCCGGCTTAGAGAAGTAGCCCAAGAAGAAACTGTACATCCATAATTCACAGTAGCAACTTCCAGTTGTGCATTTACAACCCTTTCTAAACTCTATTGGTCTAGAACCATGGATAACATAACAGTCAAGAAAATAACAAGCAGCATAGTAATTCAACAAAATTAAAACACTCACACAGAATGGCCAACCAAAAGGGTATATAGTATATAATGCCACCAGCCCCGGTTGGAACTACTAAGAAATGATGACCTGTATTGAAACTAGTAACAAATGCAATATGTGTTTGTAAGTAAAGTGGACAATTAACCTAATAACAGAACACATGATTAGAGGTAACAAGCAAACAATGCCAACTTTGCTTCATGAACTAAATTGTTGAATTATGTAACCAGCATGGCTCAAATTCCCTCTTCTGTTAGACAGTTAGGATTCTTTAGTCCCGCAGCATAACAATGGGAGCTAACTCAGGGGAAGATAAATGAAATGAAATGGAACAATCATCAAAGAACAGCTTAACCATATCATCCAATAATCTCAACAAAACTAAACTTCAATTTAATCATGCTTAATCATCTCAAATATTGTCAATACCTTACCCCCAAACTCACTAGAATGAACTCGATAGCCCCTGTTTTTGTCTGATCCTTTCGTCTGCTATTGGGAAGTGGGAATCGGTAGCTGCTCCTGAATTTTGGCTCATGCAAAACAAACACAGTGAAAACCCAACAAAAAGAAATTAGATAGAAACATAATAGACCACAATAAACAACGAGCGAATAGAGTCATAGATTCGGATGGGAAACCAATAATTTACGAGGTTTGAACCGGTAGCATTCGATTCCAGATCTTACTTTGGGGTGCTAGCTCTGTACTCTTCGACCCAAGAGAACTAAACCACACGGAAGCGAACAGAGCATAACTGAATATGATATAAACAAAGAACATACAGCTCCAATTTGGAAATACAACATCCACCAAATCAACCCTAACAGAATAAACTAGACAACTTGAACAGGGCACCATACACAAGGAGATATTTCTCATATATAACAAAGTTAAAGCAAGAGCAAGAGGCAAAGACAGGAGGCGTAACATGCATTGTACATCAAATTAGCTAAAACATATGGGGAACGAAAAAGGAAATTTGGGGCAACACAGAGGAAAAACATCCACCAAAAATCTGCAAAAGAAGGGGTTAGAGCAAGCAAAACTGAAATGAAAATGGAAAGGAAAACTTCAGCGAGCTCGTGACCGCAGGACAGAAGAAGCTGGGGATAGCTAGAACCATCGGAAGGAGGAAGTGATGAGCAGAGGTAGCAGTGGTAGAAGAGAGCTTTTGCTGGGGTTGAGTTCTCTGAAGGAGATGAGGCACTGGAGGTGGAGCCGTAGGAGAAGCGGCGACCCACGACATGCATACAAATCTGAAGAATCGCGATGGACACCTTCTTGGCAGGCGGCTGCAAATCATCGACGTTGGCGGCTGGATTTAGCGAAGGATTGATGGGGGATTGGCTTCCTTTTGGGAAACCTAGATCGACGCTGTTGAAGTCCATTTGGGCATTCGCCTGAATCAATTTCTTGCGGCAAGGTGAGATAGAGGGAAGATTAGGTCGAGAGAAAGACCAAATAGGGGTGAATGTTTCTTTCGGACAAAAGGAGGATCTAGGTGCGGTGCGCCTTTTCCTAAGATTTAGAAAGTGACCCAGCAAATCCCGCGAAACCGAAAAAATTGGGCGGACTTTCTAAAATTTTCGCCAAAGCCAATAACGAGGGGTGTTTGAGGCGAACAACGACCGGAAATAAAAACCCCTTCGTAGTAAGATAGTTGGAATCAAAATCGCCATCTGACGACCGTTTCTGTACCCCTCGCCACATTTTCCTCTCGTTAGAAGCCTTTTCTTTTGTAGTGTCAATTCGTTTACACTCTCTGAAGGATGTGATGCACCTCCATCACTTTTATCACGAAAACAATACTTGTGAAACCAAATTTTGGTTTTCTAAAACTCTGAAATTTGTAGTTTCATTAAGAGACAAATCTATAAGAAAATAGGTTTCTTTATCATCATGTTAAGAGACAAATATTAATGTAATGACCAAAAGGAGAAAATAATCACCAATATTTGTTAGAATTGCATATATTGTCCTGCCCCACAGAGAACTTTCACAACAAACTCAATGTACCCAAATTGTATATTAGGCCCAAATTAAAATTTGTAAGAAAGCATGCAAATATATAGATGCAAGTTTAAAGAATCATATAATCATAAAGCTTTAGTTGTATCTCTGTACAAAATTTTCTTATAACATTACATGTTTCCGTCTTACTAACTTTGTCAATAGCTAATAAATTCTCTTCAATTTTAATGTAGTGACTAAAATGAGAAGACGATCACCAATGTTTGCGAGAATAATATATATTGTCCTGCTCTATAGGGGAACCTTCATAACTAACCCATGTACCCAAATTGTATATTAGTAGTGATGACAATATCTTATATGAACCGTGCGACCTGACGTGTCCCAACTTGTTTGGGGAGGATATCATCCGACCTCCAGTAACTTGTTGCGAGGCATGGGTATTGCTTACCATCTGTCCCTCCCCGTCCCCGTTTTTTACCCGTTCTATCTTGATTTGCATCAATATCTACATGTATTTTTTTCTCTTTTGACCTTTCTAAAATCATGTTTACATCCAAAGAAATTCTCTATACTATCTTTCAACTATTGAGACTCAATTATTCCTTCTACTACGTTTCTCATCCATTTATGAATTATTTTTTCTATGTGTTATTGTCAAAGAACTAAATATCGACGTTCTTTTTTCAGATAACATATAAGAGTGGGTCGACCTGCCACACCCCACACCCGAGCGGGTATTATCCAACCTGACCAAAAGGGTTGAAGTTGCTACGAAGACTGTTTTTCTGGTAGACTTCGAGCACAAGCAAGCTGTCAGAAAAACAGACTCCGTAGCAACTTCGAGCCTTTTGATTGAAGCCTTAAAGATATCCAATATTTCATCCAATTCATCGAATTATCCTTGAATTTGAGCTCCAAAGTAGGCTTCACAAACACGTTCCCAGACTTAGCCATTTTCAGGCAGTTTCCCAGTTTTGGCATAGCCTTTTGATCAGGTTCAAAAATGGTCTTTTGGACTTCCTATCGAGCTCCCAAGTATTTTAATGCGTAGAGGAACACTTCAATTTCAAAACAAGCCATTAATATCCAATTTCCATCTAGCCAATTGTAAGATAGGAATCTCCAAAGTAGGCACAATGAAACTGTTTTTACACTGAAACAACAGATTAGGTCGACCTAATCCTATATGAGGTCGACCGAAAAGTGCATGTCACCGTGACATGCATGTCACCGTAGCAAAGTCCTAACAATAGACGTGTCTACAATACATCCAATAATTTAAATACATGTGAAAAGCCACATGTTTGTATGAACTTTTAAATTTTGCTACAAAATATTTTAAAAAAATTATAAGTTAATTATTCAAGGAATACATAATTTTGAATGCACCTGAAATATTTGTCTATCGTATACACACTTTACCGATTATTAATATAAGTAACAAAAAAATTTGTTCTAGAACAAACATCAAATATAAAGAAATTTTAGCGAATGGACATTCAAATAGTTGAAAAATTATACATTGAAGGAACATGTTAAGATGAGAACTTTCGATAGTGTATATGAATGCCTTGGATTCAGATTCTAAACGAACATCTAGACAAAAGGCATGGGTTGAAGGTTAGTCCAAACTTAACATATAAGCAATTGATATATATTGTAAGATAATAATAATTTGTATCTTGATAGAAAAATTGTCATAAGTTGCTATACAAAGACTTCATGAGCATCAACAATAAAAATGAGTGAGGTTTAGAGAATTTAATCCTTATAAGGGATACAATGTGTGTCAAATTTCAATTGGGATAAACATAATTTATCCAGTAATCAAGTATCTTTTTCCAATATTTTGAACTCTGATTAATTGGCTGAGAGTTCGTACAAACTCGAGAATCATGAATTGATATTTGTTGTATAAGATAATAAATTTGAGCGTCTTGGTGGAAAGTTTTTTATATACGATCTTAAATGGGACGTGATAAATCTTTACGACATGATTTATGATCAGAGAATAAAAACATCACAAGCGAGTGTGCTAATTATTAAATATTAAGAATTTTCGATATAGGCATACCACATATTCACTTATGAAGCGAGAGCACAAAATGTATACAAGATCCAAAAAATTCAAAACATGTAGATAAGTTAACTAATATAAATAATAAAATGAACTTCTCCGGCCAACTGGCCGGGTAAAAAACTAGTATATTTTTATTTTTGAACCATGAAGCTTGGTTTGTTATAGCGGTCATACTAGAAAAGTATTTGAAGTAAAACTGTGATTTCATTGTGGTCGTCGTTTTCTACCACTAAAACTGTTTATTGTTTTAGTTTCGATAATCGATATTTTCGGTATGACAAACCAGTATGGTAGAGTTTCCTAAACATTGTAATGAAGGTGAGGTGATGAACTCGAATCTCTCTAACGATCGCTAAGAAAATCCTTAATGAAGCAATTTTGGGTGGTTTTGTTGTTGTTTTTTTTTTGTCATAATAGATTGAAAATAGACATGAGATTACAATTTACAAGGTTGTGAAAAGTAAAAAGTCGTAATCAACTAAATGTCGATCTACCGATGCAATTACTGTTTGTGCCACTAAATGGGCAACCATGTTAGTACTACGAGTGATGAGGGCATCAATGCCAAGATCGCTTCAAGCCCATCAATGGTACGAGAAGAGGCTGCTCAAGTTCAGAGTCCAATTACTCAAAGTCAAACCAAAGCGTTCAAGGCTCAACTACAAGCATATTTGGTTAAGAGTTTCGCATCGGTGGAGCCTGAATTGTTTGTGGGCCAAGAGGTCAATTTAATCTGCATCCAAGAAGAGAAAGAAGGCCAGACAAGCCCAAATCGTGAAACCCGTAAAGAAACCTTGTGGATAGATTCTTTTTGTTTTTCTTTTTCCTTTTGGTATTTGGTCTCTTTAGCTTATAGGAGTAGGTTTTTTAGTTGTTTAAGGAGAGACACAAGATTTTGTAACCTCTGTAAAAGGAGGGTGATTTGCCCACGGGCTGGACAGATTTTGATCAATAAAAAACCCTAGTTTTGAGTATTAAATTCTTACTTTTATTTCTTGTCTGTTCGTGGAATCGAGCCAGCAAGGAGAGTTCGACGTTATCAACTAGTTCATCACCTTAATTGTGGAGTCACATCGTATACTTGACCCTATTCCCAACCGTGGAGTAGGTCCGAGTTAATTCTGTTTGTGTTCGTTGTGTTACTAATCGTGTACTTTGCTGCGTTTCTGATTGATAAGTCCAGGAGTTGGAGTCTTGGCTTATATCAACGAGGAGCAAAAATAAGCTAAGTAAATGAGAAAACAACCTTCAAGCTCCAAATTTCTTCTAGAATAGTTCATCCCCTGTCGTGGATTTTGATTTTGTTGAATTTGGAAAATGAGGATTTTGGTTTTAGAACTTGTATTTAAGAAGATTATGATTTGAGGTGGTTTGGTTATTTGATTTGAAAAATGAGAGTCTTGGTTAAAATCTTTGTTTTGAAAAACTCTGAATTTGTAAAGGATTTGGGCATTATGGATATGGACAGTTTGTTGGATTTGTCCATAAATTCTTATGTTACGAAATTGTAGTGTCGTTTGCTTGTAATTATTTACGGACCAAATTTATGGAGCCCATGAATTTGAAGGATCCAAATCCGTGGACCACACGTACTTTTGGCTCGATTCTAACTACATCACAATCGACGACCAAACATAACCGACAACCGGGTGTAGCATAGGGTAAGCAAGTAATAAAATTTATAGTACTACGGAGATCTAAGTTTACCTTACTTCAGATTTAGGGTTCTTTATCTAGCCAACCTAGGGTAGTGATTAAGAAGACTAAACTAACTAACCTAGCTAATTACAAGTTTCCGTCAGTTGGGTCGATGATTCCTCTCCTTTCTTTAACCAAACCAATTGAAGCTTCGCCTTCTGGGGGTGATTCCTCTTTTGATCTTCTGACCGGTGCTATACACGGTTGAGTATTATCCTAACTCGATCAACTCACTATTCTACCGTTAGGGGATAGACTCCCCCGGGATTGACCCGGAATGACGAATTGATGGATGAGTAGGTGCTCTATTCAACCTAGGGATTCAGATATCGCTAGTAAACCGATCGAATCAACTCCCTCGAGTATTAACCGGACAATATACGATAGGAGTGACCCGAAAACGCCAATAATGGGCTCTAAGGAGATTTTCTCCCTCCTAGGTCAAAAGCTCAATATATGAAATGGAACCAAACTCAGGCAATCCATCAAATAGATAAAATCATCAATCAAACATAGAATATGTCACATACATGAACTTCAAACCAAAGTCTAGGCCTGGGGTTAATCAACCTAAGAGAAAGAGGTCTAGTTCATAGAGAAGAGAGAGAGAGATTACAAAATAGCCCAAGATCGGCATCTACCTCATCTTCTAGGATTGAATCCTTGTCGCCAAGAGCAACTCAAACCTCCAATTAAGCTCGAAGATCTCTCAAAAACTCTCTCTAGAACTCTTCTTTGTGTTTTGGGTCGAAACCCTAGAGAGAGAACCAAGTTCTTCAAAAACTAGCTCTCTTTTCTCTCCCCCCGCTTCTGTCTTTTTGTACAGCCCAACAGTCAAAGTCACAGGCTGAATGTCATGACCGTGACTTTTGCAGTCTGGTCGTGATCTCGAACAAAAATGCAGCTGTTTTGGTCCAATGTCACGACCTATTCACCATTGTCACGTCTGGTGTCCGTGACAACTTTTACTCCCGCAAGATGTGCAAACTCTTCTGATCCTTGCAAATGTCACGCCTTGGGGACAATTGTCACGCCCAGGAGACCGTGACAATTACCCCTAGCCCGTGACTTTGGCATTTTCTTCACTTTTTGGCACTTGTCGACCTACAATCGTCTCGAAACTTGTTCTCGACCTTACCACACATACTAGGACCTGAAATATAGCAAAAGAAGCACAACTTAGCGTAAAATAGGTCGAGGGACGATGATTTAGCAAGTCAAACAATCAAAACATGAGGGGTAAAATATGTATAATTATACCCGAATCAACTTGTAAATCCCACATATAGGTGTGGGATTTAGGCCATGACCATAAATTCGTGATGGCCATTTACTTTCATATTCTCATTCAAAAATAAAAATGTCTTTAAGGTAATAAGAAAATTTATATAATTAAAAGCATAAATCCATAACAATAAATCCATGAACAAATCAACAAACTTACTTTCCCAAATATATAGCTTTAAAATGTAAATTATTTTATTACCCTTTATTTTTGTTTTTAATGGAGATACATAAGTAAATAATTATTATGATTTTAGAGTCATCTTTCAAATCTAACACATATAGATAAAATTTACGAATCTGTGGGATAGACAAATTTGAACCATCAAAATTCGTGGACTTACAAATTTGGTAACTCAAAAAATTGAAAGCAAACAATGAATTTCCACAAGTCAATAATAGATTGAATTTGATATAGAGCAAACACTATTCAAATGAACAATCACAACTTCCAAACTACACCTAATATAATTGAACTTCAAGAAGCACAAGCACGTGCCTTTTGATTTTGCGTTTTATACACAATATATACACACGCCAAAACCCACCCTTTACAACACTACGACATGAACCTTCAATCCAGCTCCTTAGAGACACACCATTATCCAAACAGGCGGAGTTTTGTTTGATGGTACATATATTCACCTGCGATAGCTCAAGTTACTCTAAGCCATACAAACTGTAGGAGAGATTCTGTGACTGAAGGCTGAGTCGACGAATGAACCGGCAAAGAAAATAAAGCAAATTCCATATCCTGCCTCATCTGCAACACCAGAAAGGTCAACAGGGAGATGCCATTATTGCTCACGCAGTCGCACAGCAACCTCGACTGAATCCTATGTATCCTTTCAGAGTTCTCCACGACTCTGCCCATTTCATCTCACACAAAATCAAAGTGCACCAGTAGCTTGACATTGTTGTATTTCTTGCCCTCCCGATCATGGAGAGGAACAGCTCGAATTCCACTTTGTATTTCAGACACAGGGAGAACAGTCTGGCCTCCAAAATCATCCTTTTCCGACATGTCATACTCATGGACTTCGAGCCTCAGCAAGGCTAGTTCCGGAACTGTTAACTGGAACTCAAACTCTTCGTTCCAAACCGGTATCCAGTTGTCCTCTATTGTCTTTGTTTTCTTCATCACTACATCTGCTGGGACTCCAGCAATCCCCACCTGCTTGCAGGAATGATTAATTATTATCATTGAATTATCTTCAAGATTTTTACAATCAGTCAGGCGAGAAATGGAGAGCGAGTAACACAAGATCACATGAAAACTGAGTAACTGAGGATTGAACTCACCCTGGTGTAAAAATCTGGTGGGGAATATTGATCAAAATGAGTGTGGCGGAAATCGTAATACCATCCTTCTCCCATGTATATCCTCACCTGTCACACAGGCAAGAAAAAGGCGAATGTGTTTTTGTGAGAAAAATGAGCCGCTGTTGATGTAGATTCCATATCCTTTATTTTTTTAGATGTGGCGATCACCTTAAGAGTTGTCTTCACAGGCAACGTAGCTCTAGGGTCAAATACTTCATTATTAGGACCTGATTTCAGTAGAAAATCTGGTTTCTTCACATAACCACACCCTCCATTGGACTTGAACATCCCATGCATCAACCAAAGAGATCTTCCAAATCCCTGTAATGAAAAAAATTAAGCCTAATTAGTTGAAAGGATTTTGTAGTGAAAGCAAAGACAAAATGAAAGAAAAAACTGGTGAAAGGTAGTTGATAAAGAAGCAAAGAAAGAAACTCAGAAACAGGATAAGCGTTTAAAAGATAATACCTGCATGTTAAAAGCAACCATTTGAGCTCCATGCATCCAACCGATTAGTGGGTTGTAGTTGGATGAAGTAATACGAGTGCCCTTTGGGTACACCCTCAAAATGTTTCTCTGGGTAAATCTGTCATCTTTAACAATTAGAATTTGATGAAAAATAGTTGTTCAATACTCAACTTGGCCGCACTAATGTATTACAGAAACTTGAAAGAATAAAGCAACAAATTGCAAGATGGACTTCAGGAAAAGAATAAAGGATTTTGAAATTTTGCACACCTGACAATATCTGTACCCCGATCCTCTGCAACTTTTTCTAGCTGCTGCTCACTTAAGCTAAGACGCCTCACTTTTTCAGGATCGACTTTGAGACACTCATCCATTCCTCCTTTAGGCTTACCAGCATGAATAGCAATTAAACGTCTATATTCTGGTGCAAGAGACTTCTGGAACCTGTTCACTCCTTCGTCAGGATCTTCCTCGTCATCATCCTCATCTTCCTCAGTTTCTTCCTGCAAGAAGAAAGTCAAATTGCAGGGATAAAACACCCACCGCCAGGTGACTCTAAAATCACATTTAGGTAGGGTTCACACTTACCTTGTCATTGCCTGAAGCAGGGCCTTCAAGATGCGGCACTTCTTTCCCCCATGCTTCCTCATCACTTGCAGTTTTCCCGTTTTGTGAATCACCTTCCTGGGCGTCTTTGGGAACTGCAGCTGACATATACTCTTTTGGTGGTTTGGTTGATATGATAATCCGTTTCTTCAATGATTCAGGGGAGGGGAATTCTTTTAAGCAATCCGAATCAGGACAAAACAGAATGTCTCCAAACGTTTGTGTGACCATCTACAAGAAAAACAAAGGAAACATTACAATGATAATTCCCAAGAGATTAAAACACGTTCAATTAACAAACTCTTACCTCAGCTACTTTAGCCTGCAGATCTGGAGTGAGGTGGTCTTCCAGAGTTATGACTACAGGATAGTCAGATGCAGTGAAGGCATGCTCTTTGATAGACCGCAAACATTTGATAAGTTCCACAGGGGTTGTCAGTGTCCTAAGCCGAACGAAAGAAAGAATTACAGTGATTACAAGCAAGTTCAAGACAATCTAACAGGAAAAGATTATTGATGCTATTAAGAAATAATCTCTTCAGAGAAAAATTCGTCTTACATAACAACAACAAACAATCGCTTTCCTGGTTTAAAGTAGACGACTGAAGTCTAGAGAGCCATCAACAAGATAAAGAACAATAAAAATTCTAGAAGTTGGTTCAAAAGACTCATGCATCTTTTCATTACTTCCCTATTTCAGAGAGTAGTCATGTATATCTTGCCATCCATCTCAGGAGGAAGAGCACAGAACTACTAGAGTACCTTCCATGGAGAACTTCAATGCCATCCTTGTTGGAATTGGGCCATATATCCAGTTCAATCACCCTCACACCTCTCTGCAGTGCCTGTATGATGGGAACGTCACTACAGTCACTACTAAGTTGGTTCCCGGTAAGATACGAGTTGTGCCCCGTGTAAATGAAATAATGCGAAAGAGGAGCAGTCATATCCTGCTGCACCTGCAGAACAGAGAATGGGCAATTTTTATAGAAGAATTTCGGTACAGTTAACACAAGCAAAGCTATGTAAACCAAGCCACACCCAGAATTCAGCCAAAAGAGGCAACTTCAATCGACCAAATTTTCGAAATCAAGCATCCGTTAGCAACCTCACAGGGGAATAAAGAACTGCCTGACAATTGGATTGGACTAGTCACAGAAAATGTATCTTATCTTAAAACAGAAAACCAATCAAAACCTACTGAGCCAAAAAGGAAATTCAGGCAAGGGAATGCTTGCTAGCTAGTAAGGCTAGCAACTACTCAGAACGAGACAAATTCAATTCTATAATTGCATCAAATCTCAACCGACAGAAACCCTCACAGACGAAAAAAAGACGAAAATTGGAAAAGCACAGCAAGTGAAGTAACAGTGAGTTCAAAGGAAGGGGCAAAAAGTTCAAAATCATCTAAATCCTGACCCCGCGTTTGAGGTCGATTGGGGGGTTAATGTCGCCGAAGAGATACTTGAAGAAGGTCTCGAGGTTGAGACTCTGGCCCCTGTGGTGATGCAAGATGTTCAAATGCTTGAGCTCCTGGAGACTGTTGATAGCAGCTTGGGCGTCCTCGAGGGTGGCATTCTCCTGCTTCTGGACCTCGACCAGGAAGCGGCGGAGGTGATCGGCCGACATGAGCCCATTCTCGGAGTAGCGGTTGAAGAAGCCCCGAATCTCGTCCGGGGCCTCGGCGACGGCGAGTCTGAACCGGCGGCGGAAGCAGAAGCAGACTCTGTAGGTCTGCTTGGACATTGTTGAGCGGGGAGAAGAGGGATCGGTCTCGGTTTCCGAGGAGGATTTGGGGGAGAATTGGAGAGGTTTCGGGGACAGTGTGAGAAGAAGAAAGAAGAAAATGAAAGGGATGAGGGAAGAAATAAATGAAAATGAAATAGGATATTCCGGTGAAGATTAGGAGGGAGTGGGGCCGAGTTGATTTAATGAAAGCGCCAGCGAGGTGGGAAGTGATTCGTCAGGGGGGAATGAGCTGGCACTTTGACACTGGTAGGTGACTTCCTTTTTGTTTATATCCACCTCTTTATTATTCATTAGGCAAAATACGGGTTGGATCCGGTCCTTAAGCCTTATTGTTTAAGGAAGTTTTTAAACCATTTTTATTGGCTGATACTAGATTAGGTAGTTAATGAAGGATTAGTAGTTAATAGTTAGTTAGAATAAATAAGATATTATGAAAATTTAATTAATATTACACATTAATGATTCTCTTTCTCTCTCCCCCTTGATCTTCTCCATAACCCTCTCTCTCCACTACAATTAAAAGGAAATTCGAAATTAATTTAATTAAATATTATTATTTAATATTTAATAAATTCGAACTTAATATTTTTATTTTTTAAAATGAAAATCGAAAATTAAAAATAAATGCTCTCTCTCACTTCGTGGCAACTTGCAATACAGTATTAACATTTTACAATGACATTATCAACATTTATGAAATGAATCGTTATTATTATACCTCATCATTATTAACGACTTCAATATACTTATCAATTACTTACAATTACATTATTAACAATTTTGGATCAATTTTTACTATTTTATAGTTTCATCATCAACGCCTATGAATGAATCATTAAAGTTATGTAACATAGTCATTAATAGTTTGAATAACAATAACATCTTTAGTACTAATGATTCACATTTTTACGTCATGTTTATAACTATCTAGTCATGGCCTCTTCCAATGATTTCTAATGACATTATTAACGTTTATGATCAATTAATATTGCTTTACATTATCATTCTCAATTATCATAAAACACAATACTGATTTTCAACATCTTGGGTACTTGTGACATAGTGCACCTGTGTGATTCAGTCAAACAAACATTGTCCAGAAAAATATTAGCTCAAACAAACCAACATTCATGCCTCAACACCAAACTTTTAATAACAATACAATAAATCATTGATAACGAAAAGTATTTCGTTGAAAATAAACACAAAACATCAATGTAAAAATGTCTGACTTCAACATTATAAATGACATCAAACTTTTAATAAAGATATTAAAAACCATTAATATCGAATGATCAAGTCACTGATAAGGAAATAGATTTTTGTAATATAAAAAAATTAATAATATTCAGATGCAATGTTTAATGTCAAATAGCACTAAAAACGCATTAATAAGTAACATGTGTTTAATGGATAATGCATCCAAAAACTTTGATAATGATAGCAACTAATGATTGTTAAGTACCTTATTAGATATTATTAATATCTTATTTTCAAACATTGATAATGCTTATACACGCCTATTAATAATGACACAAACTACGTTACTAACTTAGACGGAAAGATTAATAACCATACTTATATCATTAAACGTAAATTCACTTTTGATAATGTCATAAACAAACGAATATCTAACAAGTATGCTTCTTGATAATGACATTTGACAAAGTTACAAACATAAACAAAAAAATATTAATAATTCAAATCACTAAACAGAAGCAATCTTACAAATGAATTAAATTTTTGCTAATGATTGTATTGTGCTTGGAAAAAAAATTAATAATAGCACTTCAAATTATTATAAATCATTGCGAACCAAATTGATAATACGATGTAATAGTAAATAAACTTCAAGTATCAACAAATTGAAAACACGATTTCACTTTTGCTAATGTTACAAACAAAACATAACATAAAAATTTAATAATGTCATATAAAATTATTAAAAACATGTCGAACAACATTAATAATAACACAAACGAATACCTAACAACGAAAAATCTCAAACCCATGCAATGAAAAGTCCTAATGATGATTCAATTTATAAATATTGATAATGTAATTATAAAATATTAATACTTAATACTAATCGGAAGTTGCCAAGATGTGAGAGAGGCATATATTTTAAATTTCCATTTTAGGAAAATAAAATTATTAAATTCGGATTTTATTAAATATTAAATAAAATTAATTTCATATTTCTTTTTAATTATAATGTAGAGAGAGGGTTATGGAGAAAATCATGGGAGGAGAGAGAAAGAGAATCATTCATTAATTATATTAATTTTAATTATATTTGCATATCCCTATTTACCCTTAACTACCTATTAACTACTAACCCCCATTAACTACCTAATCCACTATTAGCCAATAGGAAGGCTTTAAGATTTTCCTTAAGAAATGAGGTTTAAGGACTTGAACTCAAGCCGGCAAAATACAGCTGTATATCCACAACTATCACGCTTGTGACAAATATATCTACAATTATTGAAATACACGTAATATCTAATTCCGTCTAATACTCTAACGGCGTTAATTAACAGTCTGACTGGATTGATGGAATGGGCTGAGTCAGCGATATTTGGTCCCACCATTACACGTGGATAATGAAAAAAAATAAAAAAAATAAAATCCTTCTTTTCCTATTCCTATCGTCTTCCCACCTCTCATTTTCTTACTCAAAGCCCCATCTTCGATCTCTCTCTATTGCCCTCGCTTTGTCCGATGATGCAGAAGAAGTTTGGATTTTCGGCGACGCATCTCATTTATACCACCCCTTTCGCCATGTCGTTCAAGTACGCAATCGCCTCCAAGTACCAACACAAACGCCTCTATTGAATCTGGATTTTTGGGTTGAAGCTCAGAGGTCAATCGAAGTTTGAAATGATTCCATTCGAATCAAACTTGGAGACTCGGAGCTCGAGTCTGGATTTCTGACTGAAGCTCGGAGGTTACATCGTAGTTGGAGGCTGAAGCTCGATGCCGATTCGTTCAAATCGAACTCTTAGGCTCGGAGGTCGAATTTGGGTTTCTGTGGTGAAGCTGAATCCGCCGCAGCGGCTGTCCTTGCCATCAGTCGATCTTCACTAGCCCCATCTTTTGTGGTCAACCGGTCGTTGAGGAGCTCGACGTCGCTAGGAGAGATATTGAGACATGAACTTCCCTTTTAAGCAGCTGCCGAAGGACTCTGGGAGAACGTCGAGGTTGGCATCTCGGCGAGTTCACTGGGAATCGAGCCAAATGAGTGACGCCGCCGCCAGGTCTTCTTCCATCCGCGGTTGATGTGGGGGGTTTCTCATTCTCTGTTTGATGCGATTTGGGGGTTTTCCAATCCTCTACTTGCTTCGATTTGGTGGTTTTAACATCGGCTGTGGGATTGGTTTCCGTCGGAGAAAGAAACAGAAAGTCGATTGAGCAAGTGGGCAAGCCCAGATCGTCGATTGAGAAAGCAAAAGACCAAGATCGATGTTGGCGACGGGAGCTTGAGAGGAAGCTAGAGGAGGAAACAAAGCTCTCCGTTGGGATTTGGCCGCTTGGTAACGAAGCTCGGCGTCGGGATAGCGTGGCCGGAAATATGGGGATGATCGCCGAAAAAAAATTTAATTTTTAATTTTTTATTAATTAATTTCTGACGTGTCATTTAACTCTAATATTATGCTGATTTGTTGCTGACGTGGACGGTGATTTGGATCCTAGTCAGCATTCCATCACAATAATTAACGGCGTCACTAACACCGTTATAGTTTCCGACGTAAGTGGATAGATTTGTCACACAACCTTCCGATTTTTGGAAATTTTGTGTAATTCGATAGTTGTGGATATATTTGTCACAAACGTGATAGTTATGGATATACAACTGTATTTTGCCTATTCATTATTACTAGCTTATAACACCGTTGATTATTTATATTTTTATGTTATGTTTATATCTATCAACTTGTCTAATTTTATTGACAATCTTTCGATCGGAATGATATATAAAGAAAGATTATATAGATCAAACATTTGGAAAATATCATCATTTAAGAATATAAAATAAAAAATATATATCATTGATTCTATCTTCATAATGATAATTAAGTCCCCCTGTAAAATGCTATTGATTAGTTGATTGTCAAGAAAGATAGAGTATAAAAACTGACTGAAATTTCCACACGAACCATAAATAGTTTGAAACTAAATCTTAAACCTGACATTCCTACATAAAGGTTCAATGCTCTCATTTTAGGAATAATATGCCACTAATAAAAAAGAAACGGAGAGTTGTTGATTCAAGTCAACTATATACTAACAACTTAGCTAAGAGGGGACCATCAAAACTTGAGAGCAAACGCCAAAATTAGGGTTACCTCCAATATACTAATAGACTCTATCAAAGTATAAGGAACAGAATTAGACACTCCTTATCTATCAGTCCCAGTAGGTTGAATAAAGAATCGACCGACCTACTTCAGTAAATAAATCAATGATTCCTCGTTTTGATGATAGAAATAGGTTGTGATATCTTCAAAAACTATAAACCCTAAAGATTCAATAGTCACCATTCTCTGTTGTACAATCAAAATTTTATCAAATTTATCTTCAATCTCAAGAGGCGTATGTTTCAACCCAAAATTCAATTTCTAATCCTCCTTTAGCAACTCCATTCTATTCGCCATGGATTGATACCGGAGTTGAAATCTTCTACTTGTCCAGTTTAAATCCCTAACAATAAAATTAGAGTGCCAAGAGATACCAGAAGATTGATTTTGAAAGGCGGACTTGTAAAGTGAAAGAGGAGCAAACTATTGCACGATGGAGGGAATTTCAGAGGAATTTAGAAAGCGTTAAGAACAAAGATAAAAAAATTACTAAATTTAAATATAAATTGAAAATGCAAGGACACAACACGTAGTAATATAATTAATCTCCTCCATAAAAATACATGAAACTCTGCTATAAAAATTGCAGTATCAAGCACCATAAAAATACATACGGTAGACTTTGTGAGCTTGCTAATCATGATGGAATAGTCCACCGATTTTTAGAGTGTCACTTCGTGTATGTTTTGTATTAAGATTTAAGAAGGACACAACAAAATTGTTTAGTGTAATTGGTTGTGATTCTTGTCTTTGTTTGAAGAGACCTGGCTTCGAATCCTGATATTTACATTTTTATATGAAATAAATAATTAATTGTAAAGACAAAAATGCTCTTTCTATTTTCACTCTCGTTGCAGTAAATTTGAAATGGAGAAAAGTAGACAAAACTCTACTATATATTATTGGAGGATGGTTTTTATTTATCAAAATTAAGAAAGGTCACACATTTGATTATCATTAACTCTATTATATATTATTGGAGGATGGTTTTTATTTATCAAAATTAAGAAAGGTCACACATTTGATTATCATTAATTCTTTATGAGATAATCATCCTATTAATTTCGGGAAGCCTATGTGATTGAAATGATGATTAAGAGCATTCACATTAGTATTGCATTCTCAATTACGGGGTAAGATAGCATGACTACTTGTTGAAAAAATGACACTCCCTATATATTATTGGAGGATGGTTTTTATTTATCAAAATTAAGAATGGTTACACATTTGATTATCATTAATTCTTTATGAGATAATCATCCTATTAATTTCGGGAAGCCTATGTGATGGAAATGATGGTTAAGAGCATTCACATTAGTATTGCATTCTTAATTACGGGGTAAGATAGCATGACTACTTGTTGAAAAAATGACACTCCCTATTAATTATAGGCTTTTAAGATAATAAGTTTGTGTTGTATTTAATAATCTGTCTGAATTAAAAATCTATATTAATTATTTTCTCTTTTTCAGTATAATGGTATCAGTGTACCGGTGCAATGATGGTTGTATCAGTGCAATGGTAGTTCAAAAAAATGAATGTAATTAATATGAGTTTTTTGTTCTCGAATATTATTAAATGCAACACAAATTTAATACACAAAATAAATATAATTAATAGGGGTGTTATTTTTTCAACCCCTTACAAGGGTTAGCAAGCTAACCGACCTCCTCAATTGCAAGATGACATGGTATGGGTGTTTCCAATTGCAAAATCAATTGAATTGATTGGGCTATCAATTGTATATTCGCAAGGTTGGAATAAATAAAATTGCATATGCGAGTAAAAAAGGCCTAAAATGGAGAATTTGTATTTATATTATTTTTTTCTCTTTTATTTTATTTTTATAATTCAAACATAACATTTAATTACATATGCAATTGCAAGTTAATAGCATTGATATAGGTGAATGAAAGTGATTTAACGTGAATTTGTAAAAAATTGAGTTGACAATAAAAGACAGAAATGTAATTGCTTTTCCAATTGTATTCACGTGGATACTCAATAATAATAATCCCTACATCACAATTGCTCATCTTATTAAAAAAATGAATTACACTAGGTCATTTTTCTAACTCTTGAAAAATGTATAGGCTCGTAGCTACCATTTTTCTTTTTCTGACACTTTAAATTTATTGACTTGTGCTCGTTGGCACTGGTTCAATTCTGGCAACACATTGTTCAATAGTATTTTGTGTTTTTTTTTAGCAATAGACAATGAAATTACCAAATCAAAGATAACAAAGTTTAGAATCAAAGTCTACAATCCAAAAAGAAACCATCTATCAAAGTCAAAACTCGCAACAACAGGTACCAAAGAAAGGGTCTTCCTGGCTACATCATGAGCCACCCGATTGTGACTCCTGCCAACAAACGAAACACCAAAAGCACGATACTGCCGCCGCAACCCTTCAAATCCCGAGCCTCCCGCCGCTGAATCTTCTCAATAACACCCTTGGCATCCCCATAAAACCACACTTCATCAAGCCCCTTCCCTGAGCACCACTGAATCGCGTCCCGAAATGCAACCAACTCCACTAGAAAATGATCAACAATACCTGCGTACTGAAATCTCTTAACCATACACACACGCCCCATGCCATCACGGACAACCAAGCCCCCCGCACCATGAGATCCCAGCGCAACCGCCCCATCCACATGACAAGAAAACGGCATCGTCAGCTGCTGCGATTGACCCTGCCCCCTACCCCCTGCCAAAGCTCGACGTTGCGGCTGCGGCATTATTTTGTGTTTTTTCTGAGAAACACAAATATTTGTTAAAGAATAACGATAATTGAAGATTCAGAGAAGGAGATGCATAAATTATGGTAACTTTTTTTTTGGAAAGCCGTTGCTTTCTTTATTTTGCTTTAATGATTGAATAAGTACATTTTCGTTATGAACTTATGATACAAATTATTTCTTTTTTATAAAGGAATAAATGCTTAACTTGAGTGGAAGCAAAGTATACGAAATTTAGGTAGAAAGAAATAGTTTAGAATTGCAAAGTCTAATTACATAATCAATATTATAGCCTGCCTTCGTGGACTTTGCCTCGTAAAAGAAAGGGATAATAAAAAGTAGGGTTAATATTTTCGTATGGCCTGAACTTTGACCAAAGTAAACATCCTGGCCAATCTTTTCGATCTATAACATTCTGGCCCGAACTATACACCAAAGTAAACAATTTGGCCAAATCAGGGTTTTGACCGTTAACTTCGACGGTCAAACGCGTTGACTAACGGTCAACGCGCCATGTCACCGCCAACTCAGCAATAAAAAAAAATTAATTTCCACCTAGCCCATTTAATTTCCATCTAGGTCTTTTCTCAATTTGAAGACGAAAAAAAAAACCCACAAATAGATGTCATCGGCGGCGGGCCTCTTCTGGCCGAGCGCCGCCCCGGGTGGGTTCGAGGAAGGGGTTCGGCGGTACGAGGATGTGAGCGGCAGGGCCACCGGCGGGGAAGGGGAGAGAGACGGAGATGGGTGGCGATGCTGCTGCTGTTTCTTGGTCGCGGTGGCGGGGAAATTAGATCCGATCCGGCCGTCCAATCGGTCGAAGAAGGGCCAGGAGGAGGTGAGGACACCGTTGGAGGCGGTGATCCTGGTCTTCTCGACCTTGTACTTCTTCTTGATGGTGTCGATCCGGTTCTTGCACTGGACATCGGTGCGGTGGGTCTTCTTGGTGAGGCCATGGATGGCGTTGACGGCGGCGGCGACCTCTTTCCAGTCGGTCTGGCGGAGGTTTCCCCGGTTGAGCTCGACGTAGCGGTTGCCCCAGGCCTCGACGAGCGTGGCGGTGGCCTCTTCGCTCCAGCAGTCCTCCCTGATGGGGAGAGGGCGGGAGTTAGGGTTGCTGGAGGGAGTGCCGGAATCCGTTAGGTCGCCCATGGAGGATGGATTGCGGTGGAAGGGGAATCAATCGATCGGCGGCGGGCGGGGGGGTGGCGGTGGTGGAAAACCTAGGTTAAAGATTGGAAAAGAGGGGAAGGGGATTGAACGGAGAGAAAAGAGAGAGAAGAGGGTAAAAGAGGGGAAGGTGTCGGTGCGGCGAGGGTGACGCGCCGACGCATGAGGGCGAAAGATTAGGAGTGGGGAAATAAAAGAGAGAGAGGAAATTTTTTTTTTTTATTGCTGAGTTGGCGGTGACATGGCGCGTTGACCGTTAGTCAACGCGTTTGACCGTCGAAGTTAACGGTCAAAAGTCTGATTTGGCCAAATTGTTTACTTTGGTGTATAGTTCGGGCCAGAATGTTATAGATCGAAAAGATTGGCCAGGATGTTTACTTTGGTCAAAGTTCAGGCCATACGAAAATATTAACCCTAAAAAGTAAAACAAACTTTGCTTCATATAGACTTTTGGCATTTTCCATTTTGCCACTCCAGCTCCCACACTTTTCCTTTTTGTCTTAACAAATTGAGTAGTAAAATTCCATTAAAAAAAATTGAGTTTTAAAGTGCTAAAGTCTAAATGATGTCGGTAAAGCATGCCCTCAATTTATTATTTGACTAAAATGATCACTTAACTTCCATCTGATAACAAAATGATCATCAAAATTTAAAACGTCGGATAAACCAAATACGAATATATGACAACAATAAAATTGTTTTGTTGTGCACTCTCTTTCACAAAATAAATGAGTTTTTCATGAAAAAATTACGCAGAATCTTTCGGAATTTCAACATCCAACCGCTTCTGTATGTGTGTATTTTTTAAATTATAGGATTTTGATATAATACGTCTTCTATTTTTACTAAAAAAGTATTGTAATATCAAACAATTAGTAATAATTTTTTATGTGCGTTTAAGGTTGTAATCTGCGAGCTTAAAGTAGTATGGATTTGATTCCTTCCTTGAATAAAGAGCTAATTTACCATTGAATTCCAAGTTAAAAGACTTTCAAAGTATACATCCTTTAGCTGTCTAACTAGCTAATTGGTATAATGCTCCATGATTACAGACATGCGTACATTGGATCTACAAAAGCTCAAACCCCATCAAAAGCTTCACATTCTTCAGCTTCTCGCCTTTCTTATCATGAAGATGGACTGATCGGATCCCTTGTCTTAGCTCGGAGACGGGCAAACATGTCTGCCCACCAAAATCATCTTTCTCGGACATGTCATATTCCCGGACCTCGATTCGAAGTAGCGCTAGCTCTGGAAGCGTCAATGGGAACGTGAACTCTTCATTCCATACGGGCGACCAATTGTCCTCGATGATCCTCGTTTTCTTTCGTGTCGAATCAGTTGATGCACCAACAATGTAAATCTGCACACGTATGTTGGATAACATGACGATACATTATCGAGTTCTCAAATGGTTTTCATACCACTATAAGGTCTAAACTCGGTAAAGATGCGATATTTGTGGGACAAATTTTTACGCTTCAATGTGATTCGAGTGTTTATTTGGCCGGTAAAGTCAATAAATTCAATTCATCAGAAAAACTCAGTGATAGAACTACCTTAGTGTAGAAGTCTGGTGGTGAATAAGCATCAAAGTGTGTGTGGCTAAAGTCCAAGCGCCATCCATCACCCAAATACACCTTCACCTATGAAATAGAATGAATGAAAGTCTGAAAAATGACATATTCCAGGGTACATGATCGAATTAAAATTTCAAGAGTAGTAACCTCACCTTTAATCGTTTCTGCACTAACAATTTTTTCTTAGGATCGAAAACCTCACTATTGATGCCTTTCTTCATTAACAAATCAGGCTTTTTCACGTACCCACATCCTCCATTAGCCTTAAACATCCCATGCATCAACCAAAGTGATTTCCCATATCCCTACATAAGAACACAATCATAAAAAAATTGGACATGCCTTCTAAGCAATAAACACAAGGACTTCTGCAACGTGACTACGTGAGATCACCTGCATGTTGAATGCTATCATTTGTGCCCCATGCATCCATCCCACCATCGGCTTGTAATTAGAGGATGTGATTCGTGTTCCCTTTGGATAAACTCTCAATATATTCTTCTGCGTAAATCTAGAAAAAAGGCAGTCCATGTGTAAGATAGGTTGTTTCAAATCCAAGAAATTTCTATGGCATCGATCAGAGAGTCTTTGATAATACCTAACTACATCGGTTCCATTAGTAGTGGCAGCCTTCTCAAGCTCCTGCTCACTCAAACTAAGTCGTCTAACTTTTTCAGCTGCAGGCTGCAATGCATCTTTTAAGGCACCCTTTGGTTTCCCAGCATGAATGGTAATAAGCCTTTTGTACCCTGGAGAATTTAGTTGCCCTGATGTTCTGCAGTCACTCGAATCTTCATCTTCCTGCTCACTACTGCTCTGCAGCATATATGGATTCATGCAATTTCATTGCAAGATTCATCAAGTAAGATATGAATAATGAGTATTAGTCACATAGATTCACGATAAGGATGTAATTAGTTACCAACCCACCGGCCTCCCACAATTGGCTTCTGTTTCGGAAGTTCCAATCCCATCTTCGTCGTCATCATCATCCTCAGACCCATTATCTCGTGGAGTTCCCTTTTGTTTGATACCGCTCGATTCAAGATACTCTTTTGGTGGTTTGGTCGAGATCATGACTCGATATTTCAGTAGCTCTGGTGAAGGCAACTGAATCAAGCTATCTGACTCCGGGTAATACAACATGTCCCCAAAAATCTGAACCAACATCTACACATTATTCAAACGTATTACTAATTATCCACCATAAAAGCAAGAGCATTTCAAAAGTGTAATGAAAGGATGACATTCAAGGGAATACGAATCAACCTCTGCAACTTTCTCCTGAAGCTCTGGCGTAAGGTGATCTTCCAACGTGATGATGACCGGATAAGGAGAGCGAACGAATGCGTAGTCTCGTATTGACTTCAAGCATTTGAAGAGCGACACAGGCGTGGTCAAGGTCCTATATAATTCATTAGCTTTCATCCTCTACCTCTAAATACATTGATTCAATCAGGCTTAACCGAAACTATAAATGGGTTATCTGTATGTACTATTTACCTTCCGTGAAGAACAAGGACCTCATCCTTAGACGAATTAGGCCATAAATCTAGCTCAATCACCCTAACCCCTCTTTGTAAAGCTCTTACAATGGGGACCTCGCTGCAATCACTACTGAGTTGATTCCCAGTTAGGTAGGAATTATGCCCTGTATATATGAAATAATGTGACAATGGCTCACACATGTCATGGTGCACCTGTTCAATCACATTATGGAATTTCTCTGTCAACATATCGGAAACCCTAAATAACAATTTTTCCTTATGAATATGTAATAATGCGGTTACAAATTTCATTTCACCTGTTTGTTGATAGGGCCATTGAGGTCGTCGGAGAGCAAGAACTGGAAGAAGTCATCGAGCTTGAGGCCATTCCTCGCGTACCTCGTCAAATGGTGCCGCCGGTGAAGGACTTCGGCGACGAGCCTCTCGGCTTCCTCGAGCGTGCAATTGGGCTCGCTTTGGTGACCCGCAAGGAAGCTACGAAACTGATTAACGGTCATCTCGTGATGGCCCTCCGAATACTGCGCGAAAAGGTTTTGGACGTCGGCCGGCGGCTCGGGCTCCGTGATTTTGAACTTCCGATTGAAGAAGCTGAACATCCGGTAGTTGTAGCTACCCTTGTTGTCGTTGATGTTGTCTTCGTCGTTGGAGTACTCTGCCATCTTGTCCTTCTTCCCCATTTTTTCGTTGAATGGTCGAGCCTCCCAATACCCTTTCTCTCTGATCTTGGATTTTTTTTTCTTCTTTTTCTGGGTATTTGGGAGACAAGAAGAGGGGGAAAGGGAAGAGGGGGAGAGAAGGTGATGAGATTTGGGAGCGGGCTAGAATAGAGAGTTTGAAAGCTCAAATCGTGGGAGGCTTATTTCATGTTAATGATGTCAATCTAACAAACGTCTTTCTTTTTTGTGGTCTTCTTCAGTTTTTTTTTTTTGTTTCATGTTGCGTTGATGAGTCTTTTGTTTCGTTGGGGTGTCTAGTTTGTAAGGTCTGGTCTATAATGAATAGAGTTAGATTAAAAGCGTGTTTGGGATAATTTAGATTGGATTTTATTTAATTTAAATTAAATTAAATGCGTTAGAGATCCATTATATAACGAATATAGTCGGATTAAAAGCGCGTAAGCTGCCGCAACAGTGAAGGCTTGGGAGTTGCAGATCCCAGGTTCGAATCCAAGCGAGGCCCGTTGGTGTTCCCGGAGGTACAAGGCTGCTGGGGGCGAAGCCCCGTTGGCGTCAAATTAAATGCAGGTGGCCCCCAGGTTTAGTAGGACCCGCTGTCACAAAGTGGCACGTGGGGCTGAGGTTCCTGGGTATCAAAAAAAAAAAAAAAAGCGCGTAAGCTAAATGTTATGTAGTTGTAGCTCCCCATTGTTGTCATTAACGTTTGAATGCATGGCCTTCTTGTCCTTCCCACGTTATTGTTGAATGGTCAACGTTCCAATACCCTCTTGCGGGCCATGTTGTTGTTGGTTGCCTAATTCGAGATCATACAGGACGCTGCTAGACAAAGCTCACTCTTAATTTGGGGATGCGCTCCATCACCGAGGTTGAGTGGAGGGGGGTGATTTAGAGGGTCTTCAACATCGGCGGATTCAGCACATAGTAGAACACTAAGCCTCATTTACATAGAAAATTAGATACCAACTAGCACTGGGTCGAAAGAGACGTTGAGAGCTAGTGAAGCAAACATGTGCCGTTTGCGATACTAGCATGGACCCAAATAAGGGTTGGGCCGTGGCCCGAGTTGGCCTCCCCTAGATCCCCTACTGACCTTCAGTTGGCTTGACATGTTGTCCATAAAGCGAATCAAAGTACAACTTGATTCCCGCTGCAAAGTACAACTGCTTCAAAGTTCAGACATGAACAACTATCAGCATGTGGCAGTCATCCTCCGCTTCAGGGGGCTTAATTATGACATGAGATTGGGATATAGAAATCTATAGTAATTATAGAGAGGGTAACAAGAGTAGTCATTATTTGGCTAGTTGGGGCCTTGGGGGCACAACTTGCCTTTGGGGCTGCATTGTATTTCGATGCTTTATCATCTCTCATGGTTTTGAATGTAAGTTGGGTGTGAGTTACATCCATTTATATATGAATAATCAGTTGATTTATATTTTTCTTTATTTATGAGAGGTTATGTGAAATCATAATTGAATTCTATCGTATTTGATTCAAATGTCAATTTGATCTTTCATAATAATGATGAGTTGCACGAAAATAAATTTGATAATTAAGGAGGATTATCTTAGTCAAATGAGTAACCTCATTACGTTGGTTGGTTTGCACCCTAATAAATGAGTGGAGGAGCATATTGTGACGTTGATTTGCTAAATTTGATGCAGATCTGACTTTATTTTTTTGCGAAGAGGGAGGCCAAAGCCAAGCAACAAAAGATTACAGGGGAGAGTTAAGAGAAGGGGTCCGAGTGTGTGACCACACGCCTCTCGAAAGTGGTGCCGATGGTGTCTTCCCAAAGAATATGAGTTAAACCTGGAGGCGGGTTTGCAAGCTCATGCGTACCGTAGGGATAAATGAGACTGTGCTTCGAGAGCCAGTCCACGACTCTATTCCCTTCTCGATACATATGAGTGATGCTAACCAACCAATCCTGGCTTAACTTCCTACGAATTGCCGAGAGTAGGGTGGCATAGGGGTGAACCGGATCATGTCTGCTGGAGATGAGCTGAATAGCCAAGCGGGAATCTGATTCCACCTTCAGGTGCCTGTCCAGTGTTCCAAGCGAGACCGAGGCCATAAGAGAACGCCCAAAGCTCAGCTAGAGCCGCCGACGTTGTTCCCATATTTGCAACAAAACTGGAGACCCACTGCCCAGAGAGTCTCGGATAACACCTCTTGCCACAGCTGGTCCTTGGTTCCCATTTGACGCTCCATCGATATTGAGAGTTCTCCAACCTGCCTGGGAAGGTCTCCATCCGATTAGAGCCGTAGTCCTAGCTGTTGTGCCCTTCCTTCCACCGGGTAGACGGGAGGGAGCCTCCCAGGCCTCATGCCACATCTTGGTTTTCGCAACTATGGAGTGGGAAAGCGAAGGTGAAGAGAGAACCGCACCAACCCCTTTGAAGACATAGGTACATCTTTTCTTCCAGAGGAGCCATGCAGCGGTACTGAAGTAAGCCGCCCAGCTCATTCCTGTGTCCAAAGAATCACTGCAGAAAAGGTTATCTAGGATCCAAACTGTCTGATTATTGTTGAAGAAAATACTTTGTCTTTGGGTGGGAACCTGACGAGTCCAGTGTCAGCAAGGGTTTGAATAAAGTAGCCGTTACATTGCTACTGTTGAGTCGCTGCTGAGTCGTTTTGGTTAAACACAGTTTAGTCACTTTGTTTGTGTCTTGAGTCAATTAAGTCCAGTCGAGTTGTTAGAGAGTCTGATTGCTTTGGAGTCAAGTTAGCAGTATTGTTAGCAGTGTTAGTTAGTGGGTTAGCAGAGATCAAGGGAAGTGGAGTCAAGGGGATTAGTTGGTTAGTAATGGCGAGATTGCAGGACAAGCTCTCTTGTATTTATACTTTGCTTTGATTATCAATAAAACTCGTCAGTTGCCCCTTACAAAGTTCTCATTGTGGTATCAGAGCTTTGGCTAACTGTAACCAAGCAAAAGAGAGATTAAAATTCATCTGCAAGTCTGATTGCAGATCAGGGTTAGGGAAACACGAGAGAATCAGAGAGGAGATTCAAGCAGGGTGGTGAGTGAGATTTCTAGCTAAAGGCTGAAAAGAAATCTGCAGAAATGAGTGAGAATAGCAGCTTTGCACAGGTGTGCATTCCCAAATTTGATGGTGATTACGATCACTGGAGCCTGTTGATGGAGAATTTGCTGAGGTCAAAGGAATACTGGGGAGTGGTTAGTGAAGGATTCAGAGAACCCTCTGAAGGCGAGGCTCTTACTGAGGCACAAAGCAAAGGTCTGGAGGAGTCAAGGCTAAGAGATCTGAAGGCAAAAAACTACCTCTACAGCTCCATTGATAAAACAATTCTGAAGACCATCACAAAGAAAAAGACAGCAAAGGAGTTATGGGATGCAATGAAGGAAAAGTTCCAGGGAAGTGCCAGAGTCCAGAAGGCACAGCTACAGGGTCTGAGGAGGAACTTTGAGCTGCTGGAAATGAAGGAAGGAGAAGCTGTCATTGATTACTTTGGTAGAGTAATGGTTATTGCAAACTCCACGAGGAATTGTGGTGAAAATCTGACTGATGTTCAGATTGTAGAGAAAATTCTCAGAACCTTGACTGAGAAGTTCAATTATGTGGTGTGCTCAATAGAAGAGTCCAAAGACATTGAGCAACTCAGTGTAGATGCACTTCAAAGTTCCTTGATAGTGCATGAGCAGAAGTTTCAGAAGAAGAATGCTGCAGAAGAAGATCAAGCACTTAAGGCTGGATATGAGAGTGGTGGAAGAGGAAGAGGTCTGGGAAGAGGTGGCTATCCAGGAAGGGGAAGAGGGAGAGGAAGAGGTTGGAGTAAGGATTCTGTAGAATGCTACAAATGCCATAAGTTGGGCCATTTCAGGTATGAATGCCCTGAATGGTACAACAGTCAACAGGTTAATTATTCCACCTCTTCTGAGTTAAAAGATGATATGCTACTCATGGCCTTTCTGAATGGTGGAAAAGATGAGAAGAATGAAGTGTTATGGTTCTTGGATTCAGGCTGCAGTAACCATATGTGTGGAAACAAGAAGTGGTTTACTGAGCTGGATACAAGTTTCAAAGGAAGTGTGAGGCTGGGAAATGACTCCAGGCTTGATGTAGCTGGCAAAGGATCTGTTAAGTTGGTACTAGAACATATAAACTTACAGATTCAAGATGTGTATTATGTTCCAGAACTGAACACAAATTTGCTCAGTGTTGGCCAGTTTCAAGAGAAAGGTCTGGCCTTTCTGATCAAGGGAGGAACATGTAAAGTGTTCCATGAAGAAAAAGGGCTGGTACTGCAGACTAGTATGCAGAAGAACAGGATGTTTGTACTAAAAGCAAACATGTGCAGAGAGGAGACCATTCAGTGTTTAAAGACTGGAGGGACTAATGAACACTCGTTGGAACTGTGGCACAGAAGGTTTGGGCATATCAATTCACAAGCAATCATGCAGCTGCAACAGAAGAACTTTGTGAAGGATTTGCCTAAGCTGCAAGGAACAACTGGGGTTTGCTCAACCTGCCAGATTGGAAAGCAGCACAGAACAGCATTTCCCAAGAAGAGCACATGGAGAGCAAACAAGAAACTTCAGCTCTTACATGCTGATCTCTGTGGCCCTATAACCCCAACTTCAAATGGGGGGAAAAGGTACATTTTCACTCTAATAGATGATTACAGTAGAAAGTTGTGGGTGTTTTTCTTAGCCACCAAATCTGAAACACTGGATAGATTCAAGAAGTTTAAAGCTTTGATTGAGAAAGAGGTTGAATCCCCTATAGTATGCTTGAGAACTGATAGAGGAGGGGAATTTCTCCTAAACCTGTTTAAAGATCTATGTGAAGAGACAGGTATAAGAAGGCAGCTTACTGCAGCCCTCACCCCTCAGCAGAATGGGGTGGCTGAAAGAAAGAATAGAACCATACTGAATATGGTTCGATGCATGCTTGAAGATAGAAAGGTTCCAGCTTCATTCTGGCCAGAAGCTGTGGCCTGGACCTCTCATGTTCTCAACAGGTGTTCTACTGTGGCCAATCAAGGCAGAACTCCTCAGGAATTGTGGACTGGTCAGGTTCCTTCTGTTTCACATCTCAAGGTCTTTGGTTGCAAGGCCTATGTACATGTACCTGATCAACACAGAAGGAAGCTTGATGACAAGAGCTCCCCTTGTCATTTTCTGGGTTTATCAGCAGAATCTAAGGCATACAAACTCTATAATCCCAATACCAAGAAAATTGTGGTTAGTAGAGATGTTGTCTTTGATGAGGATAAGGGATGGGAATGGAACTCTGAGATCCAACCTGTTCTAACAAAGATCTATTGGGAAGGAAGTGAAGAAGCATGGTATGAGTCTGATGAAGAAGATGCTGAACAGGACTCAACAGCCACGGCAGCAGTAACTGCTGATCCTGCAACAGCAGCAGTAACTGATCCTGATCCTCAGATCACAGCTGGTACTACTCAAAATGAGCCTGAAGATCAGGAGGAGGAGGAGGAAGAAGAAGAACCTGCTGCTGCTGCTGCAGAGACTTTGGGACCCAGAAAGAGAACTAGACCTTCTCATTTGAAGGACTATGACTGCAACTTCCTCATAGACACTGATTGGAGGGCAATGGTGGCTGTTGATTCTGATCCCCAGACTTATGAAGAAGCTGCAGGAGATCCAAAGTGGAACGAGGCTATGCAGGTGGAGATGCAGGCAATCAAGAAGAATGAAGTTTGGACTCTCACTGACCTACCAGAAGGAGTTATACCAATAGGTCTGAAGTGGGTGTACAAAACCAAACTGAAGGAACAAGGCTTGCTGGATAAACACAAAGCCAGGATCGTGGTCAAAGGATACTCTCAACAAGCTGGCATTGACTATGATGAGGTCTTTGCACCTGTTGTCAGATGGGACACAATAAGGGCTCTTCTGGCATTAGCTGCACACCATGGCATGAATGTCTACCAGCTGGATGTCAAAAGCGCTTTCCTACATGGAGAGCTTTCTGAAGATGTGTATGTTGAGCAACCACAAGGTTTTGTGGTTGCTGGAGAAGAAAAGAAAGTTTACAAACTTCATAAGGCCCTCTATGGCCTTAAACAGGCACCAAGAGCATGGTACAGTAGGATTGAGACCTACTTCTTGCAGAATGGGTTTGAAAAGAGCACCTATGAGCACACTTTGTTTATAAAGAGGGCAGCAAACTCAATCCTGGTGGTCAGTCTCTATGTCGATGATCTAATGTTTACCAGCAATTGTCCAAGCATGGTGGAAGAGTTCAAGCAGTCAATGAAAGCAGAATTTGATATGACAGATCCAGGCAAGTTGAGGTATTTTTTGGGTGTTGAGATCATCCAGAATGATCAGGGCATATATCTATGTCAGCAGAAGTATGTGAAGGAGGTTCTTGCCAAATTCAACCTAACAGATTGCAACTTTGTCAAGAACCCCATAGCACCTGGTGTTCAATTCACTAAAGCAGGTGATGGAATTCTAGTGGATCCTACTGAGTACAAACAGCTAATTGGGAGCTTGCTTTATGTGACAGCCACTCGACCAGATGTTATGTATCCAATATGTTTACTGAGCAGGTTCATGGAAAAGCCAACAAGGCAACATCTATTGGCTGCAAAAAGGGTTCTCAGGTATCTCAAAGGGACCATGAGACATGGTCTCTGGTACAAAAGAGGAAGTGCAGAGAGTTGTTTGATTGGATATACTGACAGTGATTATGCAGGGGATCCAGAAGACAGGAAAAGCACGAGTGGTTATACCTTCTTCTTGGCTGGAGCTGCTATCTCCTGGGCATCCAAGAAACAACCTGTTGTCACCCTCTCCACCACCGAGGCAGAATTCGTTGCAGCTTCTTACTGTGCATCCCAATGTGTCTGGTTAAAACGAATTCTGGAGCAGATGGGTTGGAATGAGAGTGTAAAGGGAGCCACAACGATCTTCTGTGACAACAATTCAACAATCAAGCTGTCAAAGAACCCAGTTCTTCACGGAAGAAGTAAACATATAGATGTGAGGTTTCATTTTCTCAGGGATTTGGCCAAGGAAGAAGTTATTGAACTGGTACATTGTGGAACTCGGGACCAGGTGGCAGATGTGATGACAAAGGCTCTGAAACTCGAGAGTTTTGAGTTAATGAGGAGCAGGCTGGGTGTGGTTGAAGTGGCAGAAGGTTGAAGATGAAGATGGAGTGAACTGAAGCTTGCTGACCAGCTTCAGTTCAGGGGAGGCCATGTCAGCAAGGGTTTGAATAAAGTAGCCGTTACATTGCTACTGTTGAGTCGCTGCTGAGTCGTTTTGGTTAAACACAGTTTAGTCACTTTGTTTGTGTCTTGAGTCAATTAAGTCCAGTCGAGTTGTTAGAGAGTCTGATTGCTTTGGAGTCAAGTTAGCAGTATTGTTAGCAGTGTTAGTTAGTGGGTTAGCAGAGATCAAGGGAAGTGGAGTCAAGGGGATTAGTTGGTTAGTAATGGCGAGATTGCAGGACAAGCTCTCTTGTATTTATACTTTGCTTTGATTATCAATAAAACTCGTCAGTTGCCCCTTACAAAGTTCTCATCCAGAAGTAACAGGCCGGGGGCAGTCGCGGAGGATGTGGAGGACAGTTTCATGCTGCCCATCACACCTGCTGCAGCAGGGGTTGCCGGCCACCTTACGTGCATATCTGAGAAAATTGGTGGCGAGTTTTCCCATGGCTTCCATCCACATGAAAGCTCTAATGCATATCTGACTATTTAGTTAGAGCTCAATCAGTACAACGAGACCCCATTCAATGATAATCTAACAAAAATTAATATTAGGGACTTGATTGCAAATTGTAAGAAGATGTGGGAACTACCACAAAGAAAAGGATAACTGGATAAGGAATTTCAACGGAAATTTTCCCAAAGGAAAACCGTTATTCATGTTTACAAAGTCCAGGGAGCTGTTCGTAATTTTACTTTCCTCTTCCTGCCGCCTGCCGGTGGTGGTGACCAACTAACTACTCAAGTCATCACTCATCAGTCGTCGCGTCGTCCGGCAGCCTAAAGAGGGAAAGAAGATGTCAACCACAACGCGGCTGATCTCCGGCGCTCTCATCTGGATCATTGTTCTCTTTGGAACCCTAGCTTTCATCCAGGTACGCCGCCCGGCCATCGTCCCTCCTCTCCATTTCTTCAATTAGCGAGAGAAGTAGACGAATTGGTTAGGTCGAGAATGGAAATCGAACTTCAAATTGAGCGAAACCAGAGCTCAATTCGTCTTCGTATTGACTATGTCTGAATCCGATTGGTCTTTTCTCCCCGAACTTGCAGCATCGATTAAGCGATCCTGGAATTTCATTGGAGTCCAACAAAGCCGGAGAGGTATGGATTTTCTTCTTCTTTCGGCCATTACGCTTCTCTGCACTGCTTGCTAAAAGTGGGGGGAATTTTCGCGGGTTTGGAGTAGGAGAAGAAATTGGGAGAGGGTTTGGAAGAAGAAGTGACTCACAAAGTATACTTCGATGTTGAAATCGGCGGAGAAGCTGTGGGTAAGAAGGTGGCTTCCTTCTGATTGCATCTGATTTCTGATTCGAGATCGAACCCTAATACCCCATTAGGTCCTCTGGTCATTTCGATAGCTAACTGCGCTTTTTGCCCCATTTCGATCTCAGGCCGCATTGTGATGGGTTTATTTGGGAAGACAGTCCCAAAGACTGCAGGTAAACGAGCTGATAGATCAGTGGAACACAATGTAGTATTTCTTACTGTTCTGGAAAACTTGTGAACGGATCTCTAACTGTTGTTTGTTTGTTGCAGAGAACTTTCGAGCACTATGCACCGGTAGCCAAGTAACTCTTGTTCCCGTTTGCTTGAGGTCTCGAAACCTTTTTAGTTGTGCTGGTTTTTACGTATTTATTGTAATCCGATTTCAGGGGAGAAAGGGAAAGGAATGAGTGGGAAGCCTCTGAACTACAAAGGGAGCACATTCCATAGGATCATACCTCAGTTCATGATCCAAGGAGGGGATTTCACGAGTGGTGATGGACGTGGTGGAGAATCAATCTACGGTGGGAAGTTTGAGGATGAGAACTTCAAGCTGAAGCACACCGGGCCAGGTAATCTACTATAGAATTCATGGTTTAGCACTCAAAGTTTCTGCAATCTGAGTACAAGTTGGACTTTAACAAAAACCCTGAGAAATCTAATTCGCCAAAAACAGGAATGATGTCGATGGCGAATTCTGGGCCGGATACGAATGGATCCCAGTTCTTCATCACAACAGTTGTAACCAGCTGGTAAAGATTCAGTCTTTCGTTTCCGTTCTTGCCTTGCCTGAGTAACTGCAGCTCAACTCACAGTTTCTTTTTCCCTTCTCCACACCGGGATTGGACAGGTTGGATGGGCATCATGTGGTGTTTGGGAAGGTGCTTTCTGGGATGGACATTGTGCAGAAGATCGAAGGCCAAGGCCAAAGCAACGGTGTCCCCAAGAGCAAAGTCGTCATTGTAGACAGCGGCGAAATGCCCATGTAAGTGTAAAACTGAAACAAGTCTTTCTCCTGTTTTTGGCCCTTCCCTTTCCACACTCAGAAGAAAAGGTGCTTTCCTATTCTGTACACACCTGGTGTAACTGACTAACTGTAACTTGATCTTTCTATACGCCCTGGCATGGAACATTATACTACTCTGCCACCTTCTGTCTCAATTCTGCTATCCTCCTCATGCAGATAAGCGTAACGAAATCGTTAAATTTTTCAATCGAGAGTCGAATGGTTGTGCCATAGCTGGTTCTGTGTATCGCGAGCATCACAATCATCCAATTCTCGACTGACTAGCTAAGAACTCGTATTAACGTCCTATTTGTCTACTCCTTCCCTCATCAGGAAACATAAGCAAGAAACACAGTAAACCACACCACAAAAGCAATCAGACAACACCAATTTTTAACAAGTCAAGAAGCTTCTTCTATTATTCATTCCACTTGGTTGACTTACTAAAACAAAGGCAAAGACAGAGATCTGTTTATTAAAGCTTCTTAGGCCTTGGTGCCGCCGTGGCGGCCGTCAGCGTCCTTGCCGTTCCGGTGACGGTACGAGGAGGCGAAATTGGAGGAGAGGTCGGAGTAGAGGGAGGACACGGTGGAGATGTTGTGGTTGATCTCCTGGATCAGCGGCACGTTCTTGGCCATGTTGTCGGGGATTCGGGACTGGTGGTTGTCGTTCACCTGCTGAATCAGCGACCTGTTCCTGTCCAGCACCGTCTGCACCTTCCGAAACGTCCCGCTGAAATTCGCCCACACCTCCCCGTCTCCTTCCTCGCCGTCGGGGCGGTCGTTTCTGTTTCCGTCGGCCATGCTGGGAATTTGGGCGGCGGAGCGGTGATCTATTGCGGTTGGTGAGATGGGATGAGAAAGGGGAAGGCAGATTGTGGGGGGAAGTTTACGGGGACTGGCAATTTTTGTAATGGGGAAAGTGCGGAGAGAGAGAGAAAAGAGGGCCGACGCGAGAAAAGAGAGGGTGGTGAAGTGAGGAGAAACGGTGGCGCGTGATGGACCAAGTGGTGACGACACGCGCAGGTGGTGCGATTGGGGGAAGCGAGGTGGATAAATATCTTATGCCGATTTGGATTTTTTTTTTTTGACGAATGCTGATTTGGGATTGGAAGGACGGAAAAGAGCGGTGGTATCTTACTATCTTACGCTTTTCTTACACTTTTGGCACTTCGAATATTTTAGATATTTTTTTATTGTAAAAAAAAGAGAGAATATTTTAGATATTTTGCCATAGGAAATATCTCAGCATGGTAAATTATATAAGCATGGTCAAAGTCTTTTGTTACATCATTGGAAATTCATATCCAATCCATTAATATGAACCCAATAAGCAAAGCAGTTAAAATCGGAATTTTACCAAAAATCGAAAATTTGGGTAAAATAGGAATCGTAAAATCGTAGGATTTTAAGTTCCATATAGAAACTAAGATATAATCATATTAATAAAGTAAACCATTACTAACACAAAATCACATAACATTGAAAATGATAATTCTCAAGATTAATGTTCCAAGATCATCATTTTAAATCTAATTATTATTTAATGCATAACTAAAATAATTCACGAGGAAATGATAGAGCTCATGGAGCTTGGCTCTTGTTTTTCATGTTGTGTTAGGTAGTTTAACTCAAAGTAGTTCTCGGGTCAGGTTAATTTCAACATTGTCTGTTAATCATGATTTAAAACTAATATTATATGAACTCCAATTGAATAATTAATGCTAGTGGCTTGGCAAAAATGTATTAATTAATCAATTAATGAGTTAATAATGATATTAATTCTTCCGCACGTACAATATTAGGAAAACTATTTTGCCGATGAGTTCAACGGGATGAAGGGAAGAGAATTACCGAGCCATAATTTGGTTATTTTTTATTTTCAAATTTTTTTTAATAGGAAAAATATTTGAGAAGATCCCCATCATTGCCCTTTTGGCCAAATCAGTTCTGCTTTTTTAAAATTTGCTCAAACAGCCTATTTTGTTCTCATACGATTTTAATCCCGATTTTTGTAGGATTTTACGATTTTAACGATTTTAATCCCGATTTTAAACGATTTTAAAGTCTACCGATTTTATAGTAAAATCAGGATCGGAATCCCGAAATAAAATCCTAAAATCCTACGATTTTACGATCAAAATCCCGATTTTGACTGCTTTGCCAACAAGGTAAACAAATTTTGGACCCCTTAAGAGATATAAACAACATATAAAAAGCTCACACTTCAAACGATGAAGCAAAGATAAGGGCCCCCCCCCCCCCCCCCCCCAAAAAAACATGGGTCAATTACATGTCTGATTACTTCATTTATCAAAATGTTACGCATTGTATATAAAAAAATTTCTTAGTGATAAAAGTTAGATTGAGCGATCGAATGTGCAATTTATCCCTACTAAATCTTGCAAGTCCAAAAAAAATTCCAGATGGAGGGGAGGGGTATCAGACGCATAAAAGAAAACAACAATACTAACAGAGCAACCGTCAGAACTACAAAGAGATGTCAACGAAAGGAGGATTCCGGCGTCCTAGAAATTTGTTAGAAATCGATTTCTTTAGGGTTTCTATATTTATTATTATAATTATTATTAGGGCAATTATCAATAAGGTTAGTAGTCTTTTAGTCGAATTAGGTTTATTATTAGGGTTTTGTAGTATTTCCCTATATATATGTACTTTGGGTCTTTCATCAAATTAAGCAGAAATTAATAGAAAAGTCCTCTTTCCCCAAATCCCTAATCTCTTTCTCTCAAATCTCGTCTATCCTTCTTCCTAGAGGTTTCGGCCGTTCTTTCTGTTCTTCCCCAATTTTGTTCCTAATCCCAATTCTTCTTCCAAATCCCTAATTCTATCTTCTCGATCCCTAAATTCCCAAATATCACCCAATACGAATCCCGTTAGAAACTTTGTTTCTAACAAAATTGTCAGGTAGCAAGTCACTCCCATAGAAACATGAAAAATCAAACCTTAATGAAATAATGCAATCTGACAAAGACAAACCGTTGAGAGAACCAAGAAAACCGATAAGGAGCCCATATTGATTGATTTCCGCCTTTGAAACATCCAACCGGAGTGATGGAGCAAGGTGGAGGATAAGAGACATGAGAGAGATGGCAATTGAAAAATCCTAACCTTCTCTGTCACCAAATAACATCTTAATGTTCATATCTGAAAGATCAGACATGAGTAAGAAACACTCATCTTCAGAAAGAGGGGCAGTCTCTACTCTCTCGTAGAAAGGCATGCTATAAGGCCCATGCCCAGGCTCAATTCCCTACGGCCCGTGGACATCTTCGCTTGGGCCCGAGCCCGAATCGTCTAGCACAGGCACAGCTAGCTGCTATTCGCCGCCCACTAATAGAGACTAATAATCATGCTGTAGAGCCGTAGAGGAGACTAGGCGAAATAGAAACTCTGGACATTTATTCATGAGTTCTGATTGAATGTAGTACAAATAAACACTAACCAGGATCATAAATTGATGTAGAACTACTGTTATGGTCCTATCAAACATCCAGTAGCTATGTATGGACATTGGAGATCACCTGCCTGCTTCGACACTGTCAGGCCTGTGGCATGCTACAGCAGCATTACTTTACTGACGAGGATTTCACCACAAAATCGGAGTTCTGCACAATCTTTCTTTCTACTCAGCTGGTTTTCTTTTCCTTCCTAGAATTGAAGCTCTCTGCAATCTAGGACCTCCCATTCTCCATTTCCTAAAGGCTGCCATGGAGGATTGAGCTGCTTCATACACTATCCAATGAGGGCCAAATGCAGAAAAGCAAGATGTCAACTTCTTTGAGTACAGTAGGGCATGGAAAGGGAAGATTGAAAAGCTGAGGTGTAGGGACTAGGGAGACAGAATCTCACAATTGGTTTCTTCTTTGGTTAGGAAGTTCATGATTTTGGATGCTACTGCAAATGCTTTTGTGTGTGCCTTGTACAGAACCTCCTTGTACCGGGCTTTGAACGTGTATGACACCAATAGTCCAATGCTCTTGTCGCAACTGTGCCGCACAAACAAGAAATAGCAAGTAAGAAGGTTAGTGATATCCATTGTGATACAAAGCACATCAATGCTTCTGATGGTTAGCAGAATGATACTTTCAAGTCCGGGGAAAAGAATCTAATTGCTCCCATTAAGAAGCATATTGTTATATCTGTGCCACCTTGAAAGATCAAACACCTTCACATGGTTCTAGTATATTAAGCAATACAAGCAAATCGGCTGAAGCATCAGGAAAGCCAAACCATGGAGAGCACATTCTGTCGGAACTAGAAGTGCACCAAAACAATGGCAACAATGCTTGTTTCACGCTATTTGAGTGCAGCAATCATGCTACAAGGAAACGGATGTGCTGAAAGGATAACTGTCTCTTCAAAAACAGCAGGCCAAAATGAACGTAACGTTTACTCTGAAATTCAGGGTAATGTTAATGTGAGAGACTTACAATGGTGCTACTTTACACCCAAATTCGTAGAAGTACGAACAGCGAGATCTTAAATCAACGGATCCAGCATCAGCCTCGATTTCTAGCCTCGTACTGCCAAAAAAAATACAGATCAGTTAGATGGAGAAAAGAAGTACACAAACGAGGAAGCATACTATGTATGTATGATAATGCTCAGAATCAGGTCAGTCCAAATGACTGGACCAATCTATCAGGTAAAAACTTCAGAAAACGGATTTTGAATTATTTTTCAGGTAAAAATTCCTTCATCCTCCAACTGAGAATGTACAGAGACAAAAGGGAAATCTAAACAAATAGAGCAAGAGGGTCAAAGCCGTTACTTTCTATTGAAACAAGCAGGAACTTTGATTGATATGGCTTGTTGCAAGTGTAAACCCCGCGCTAGCCAAAACGGCAGCTCTGCCTTTGAATCTTGTTCAACCTGAGAACACCATATCAGAAAACACTCAGCTTACTTTCCCTCTTTCAACATGCATTCTCCCCACACCATGACAGAACTTACAAAGCCTCTTTCCGAACTTTCGTCAATTTTCACCCCATTCACCGCCTTGTGGAACTGAACTGGCACGAACTGTAATCAACATCATAAAAAAATGAGAATCCGCAGCAGTACATGAATCAAAGTTATACATACACAGTACAGAAAGTGTTCTCACATCTTCCTCGGCAAGAATGTCATCAATGTCATAGTAATCCCCCATTTGTTACTACTCTTTCTCCCCTCGAAGTCTCGCTGTTTCCTGCAAGCCACACCTTCTTCACACCTTTGAGATTTGAACTATGGGTACGCACATTTCACGCGAGCCCAATACCCAGAATCAAGAACTCACTTAGCTCTCTTCCCGAACCAAAATTACTACTCTATAGTGAGTTTCCACTTTCGAATTCCGAGCGTTTGATACAAAGCCAAATCAATAGAACTTGGGAGAAGAAACTCTAGTTCAATTTCAGCTGCAGCCTGAAATTCATCGGGGAGGATAACAATTCAGCATGGGGTTAACGACACTAAAGCACGAGGCGGCAAATCAAGAACGAGAAAACGGATCCGGCGCATCAAGTAGGCGGTCGGCGAGAGAACCCTAGAGTAGGAGGAAAAATTGGAATTGAAACACAAACTCACAGATATATTCGCATTTGAACTGAGGGATCGAAGCAGCAAGTTTCGCTGGTGGGCAAATTTTCTCCGAAATTATCGCCTGTGAAAATTTTCTCGGCAGCGTTTGGCTAATTGGCTTGGTCGGATTCAGCCCAACTTGTGAGAAAGAAGGGAGGAGCGTGGAAATGTCGAGAAAGGGGAAAAGAATGGAGGGAAACTCAAAATTGTCGAAATAGGGAATGTATCTCCTCTGCGTCGAACCCGTAGTGTAGTTGTGGTGCACCCTCATTAATCGTCGTTGAAGTTCCAAAATCGCTCAGGACAAGGTTTAAACGAGGATTTGAAATCAACCTGACTTGCGTTGTGAGGCTATGAGCCTAGGGGTGTTCAAACGGTTTGGTTACCATGGTAACCGTTTTAACCGGTACTATTTGGATAATTTGGTTTGGTTAATTTGAATAATTGGTTTGGTTTGGTTAAATTTTTTAGCTTGTTTGGTTTAGGTGTTTTGGTTTGGTTTCAGACACTCCTAACCAGTCAAACCAAATT